GTTGGATGTTCTATTCATCATGTATGAGAACTTCAAATTGGAAATTATTTTGTGCTTAATTTTTGAAAGAAACAATCCAACTGATTACTGACATTCTCACTCCCATAGACATTAATGAGCTAATTTTGTGCTTGCTGACTGTTCGAAAAGTAGTCAAATAGTCATTAGCCAAAAAGTATTTCCAATGAATGGGAAAGAAGAGAATCTTAACTTAAGGCAATGCTTTGTGAAGAGTTTAAAGTGAAAGGAACTGACAGGAGCACTTAAAAGCACTCATACGGGATTCACAAATAGCCTAGCAGTCTATTAATCACATACTAAAATCACATTGACACAATTTATGGTGACACATAAAATCATGCAAGAGTGACATCATCATTCAAGTCATGCCTTGATACCGCATAATAATGACACTATTTAAGAATCTCTTTGTGACACAGAAATAAAAAAATTAAGTTGAGCTGTTACTGTAATTTTATTTTACATCTTTATTAGGGGGAAATAAAATATAAAAAGTATCGGTGTCGCTGCTTAATATGGCAATTTGGACAGAATTAATTTTGGTGAGATTGCAGAGATTTTATTTGGGTTATTTGGAATAATTTTATAGGCTTTTAGTTAATGGATGAATTAAGGAAGAATGTAAATGCATTTAGATAATTTTTATGTGAAAATTAAGCTAGTCAACATGCTTAATGTTATGGATATTAACGGACATAAATGTCACATTTAATTATTTGAGTTAACTGTGAAAATATGAATTATTACTGCATGCTTGGATGCTTGAGAGTGGAACTTTGTTGCTGGTGTGGCTCATTAAGATGTATAAATCTCTTCTATGGCTCATGAATAATTTTATTATTGAGGATTAACAAGACATCTTGATCTACATAACCCTAACCTCTTGAACTTACAGTTTTAAAGTGACATTTGATTCATAGTCAAGGCACTTATCATAAAAATTGCAGGCACAAGAAAAAGATTCAAGTCGTATTCCTATGGCTGGTTGCTTGTTTTACATTAATCTAGGGATATGATACCAGGTTCGACTGAGGACTGTCCATTTAAGTCTAACTGAACTTGTATTGACTATAAAATCTTTAAGTACTCAAAAGCTAGTTCACACCATCACCGAGCTCTTTAATTCTCTTCTGCATTCCAGAACGTTACTCAACATCCAAATGATTACACATTAGAAGCTTTAGAATCAAAACTTAACAGCTTCACATCAACATTATTAATGCTCATCACTAACCAGTTGTTCTTAAATAGCTACTTAAATTCATCAAGTCATTACATCAAGCAAATTCTTACCAAAAGTTCTGCAAATCCACTAGTCCAATTATTTTTTTACCGTACATGCAATTAAATCCAAAAATTGATCATCATTCTTCTAAGTAAATGCGAGGTTTACATAATTAATTTCCAATTAACAGAAACAGCTCGTCAGCATTTCCATTAAAAGTAAATTTAGCAAACAGAATCCATAAGACGGATTTGGTTCATTAGAATAAATCAATGGAACTGAAAAAGAAAAGTTTTTTAATTTGCGTCTTCTTTAGAATTTACTTCCTTTATAGAATATTACGGTTGGGGTTGGTTGAATGTTATGTAATTGACTAGTCTTAAACAAGATTCTTGCTAAAATTAACCTTAGAATTTGACTTAAAGTCGCAAGTGATAAAGCTGACGTTACATAACATCCAAATACATCCCTAATTGTTTAAACAAACTTCTTGTTAATTTTCACAGCGTCTGCTGAATTGATTTCATTCTAGATATATGTGCAAAAAAATCATTTCCCTTCCTAAACATTCTTTCAGCACCTTCCTCATTTAAATCAGTTATGGAATAATGATAATTGTGTTTTGATTATCGCTTAACTGTTCTTAATTACAGTAATGCTTTTTTGGCCATCTTCAGCTTTATGTTTTTTTTTCTCGCAAAACAGAAGAAAAGTTCTCAAATTAAAAATAAACAAACAATGGAATTTGCTGGAAATTATCTGCAAACAAAATTTACGATTTGATTGTTGGAATCGCCGGATGATGAAGGATTAAGTGAATAAAAGATGATTAAAATAGTGCAAATTAATGAGCGAAATGGCCAAGCATTCTTTCTCTATTTTGAGATGTATACAGCCATAGTTCAATGTTCTTGACGTAATTATGATAGCAATTTCGTAATTAATCATTTCTTGTTGTCTGAATAATCAACTGTAATTCGTCTCGAGTCTCACTTAACAATAAATAATTTTGTTGAAGAAAGTATGAAGACAATGAAATTAGGCAAGTGAAGAATTTTGGGAGTTTATTGACGATTTTTGGGAGAAAGCGCATTTTTTAATCAATTCGTTTTACTTATGACGTCCAACATAAAAAACAATTTTTAAACTTACCTCTTTCGCTGTGTCACAAAACTGTCACAGTTGTCAATTACCCCCCCCCCCCCCCCTTACTTGTGACGTCCAATCATAGACACAAAAAAATTGGATGTCACAAATTTCCTGACCCCACCTCCCCCTCCCTCCCGTGTCACAAATTTTTTGACCTCCCTAAATGTTGAACGTCATAAGTGAACGACCCCTTAATGTCCGAGTTCAAAAAGAACAGGCCTGTTTAAATTACTGTTGTTAGTCATCCCATCGTACGCTTGATAGCTCAAAAACCTGCCCAAGAATAGAATATTAGAGCAGATTGTGGCGATGGATATTGAGCAGTATGAGTACCGAAATCCAAACTCTCATGCATTTCGTAAAAGCCCTAATTTCAAGAATCATTTCAACTTCTGCCTCAATATCTTACAATAATTCCAAGTACCACGTCTAATAGCTCCCATACTCACATAAATTTACCCATAAGAATATCTCATGAGCGTCCCTCAATTCCCAAGCATCAATTACTTGACAAAGCACTAGCTAATCACCTCCTTTCATGATAAAATCATGCTATTCAGCGAACATGTGTGTAATTCCCAAAACTCAACAACTCGCTGTATTTGCCAACTTTAATGATATTGTTTAGATGATTTTCTCCACTCAGCCACATCATTATTAATGGTCACGTCTGTCAATAGGTATATATAACTAAATTTACACAGAAAATGAGACATAAAGAATTTCTCACAAAAGTGAGCAAATGTTTGACAATATAATCATTATTGAATTATTTTTCATTCATCATAACGGTCGTATGTCATGCACTTCTTCATTCCTACTCATCGTGTATACTTATTTGCTCACAATCTCTTCTATTCTTATTTTTCTTGAGCTTAGCACGCTCTTTTAAGCAAATTAAATAGGCGTGTGAATGCTTCAAATTAATTTTAGCATAAATTATTATCATTATTTTTGTTATTAGGTATGTATAATGTGGATGAATGAGAAGCGCGAAATAAAAGAAAAGAACGAATAGGCAGCACAACAATAAAATAAAATTTAATTCATGACCTTGAACGAGTTTTCTTTTTGGAAATTTTTTTGGATATTAAAAAAAAGTGTACCGATAAATTTTTTTTGATGAGAATATCCAAAATTATAATCACAGAATTGAAATAAATAATAGTAATTTCAAGTACAAAAGATTGAGATCAGTTCGCATTTTTACTGCTACAATTATTTCTTTTTCAGCCATTATTGTGTCCAACTTTTCAGCGCAAATGATGAAAAATTGATTTTAATAATCAGCACTTGATCTTATTTTTATTGAAATGCAACAAAAAATCGGAATCGAAATGTGTTAATCAGTGTGGTATTCAGTGAGCGGCAATTTGTCAGACTAATGTGGATGGTAAGAAGTTTCGTTGGTGCTAAGCAGCAAAGACGCACATTTTTATAGTTTTTGGACTGTACTTGTCTGCTTAAACATTGGTATAAAGGTTCGTTTACTGGATTATACTTGAGCAACTCTAAAGTTGCAATTATCTTCATCTATAGGCTCTTATACACATTGTATTGGTTATAATGGACAGCAACAATATAATGCACCTTATATCAGGTCTCGCTGACTTCGTTTCTGATTCTAATGACTTATTTACATAAGAAATCAAATTATCTTTACAATCTTGATTAATTTTAAAAAACCAAAACTCCTAATATCTTCGAAGACAATCCGACAAACAAAGATCTTATTTTTCAATACCCAACATGCAGTCAACTCCATCTAAAACTCATAAATGTAAATAAAATGAAAAGACATAAGGGGCCGTTCATTTATTACGTTACGCAAAAAAATGACTTTTTTCACCCCCCCCCCCCTTGTTACAATATGTTACAACTCACAACCCCCCCCCCCCCCTCCTGAACGTTCATAATTTATTTTATTTTGATAATTTTTCATAAATCATTTTAAAGGTGGAAAATTTAAAAAATGTTTTTGGTGTGAATTTGTGAAAAAAAACCCCTCTTCCCTAAAATACGAACGTAATAAGTGAACGGCCCCTAATCAGATTTAAATTTTTCTTCATTCCTCTTTCAATTGTGAGATGCCTTGCGGCACTTTTATTACTTTCTTCGGTCCGATTTCAATTTCAATTTTACAAATCAATAGAAAGATCAAGCCAGAATTCAACATGAATGAAAAACTTAATACGATTTGAAGGAATTTAAATTAGATTTGAGTTTCATGATACCTTTAAAATACAAATTAATTCATTTACAGAAGCTTTTGTTGTTAATTTGTTTGACAAATTTACAGTAGCAGATTTTTGTGTGTTTTGATGGTTGTAGATTGATTTTAAAGGTGCTTGAAATTTGTGGGAAATTGAATTTTTTTGAAAGCATTTTAACTTCCGCTCTGAATATTTTGCTTAAGAATGATTATTGCCAAATTTGGATACTTTATTTGTTAATTTAATGTGGATTTACTAATTTGTGTTTATTAATAATGCAAAATACAAATAGGAACGATGTTTACCCTTCAATTGATTAATAAATCCTAAAAGTTTAAAAACAGGAAGGATTAACAACCATGCAACGGAAAATCAACCAATTTGTGCTGTAATTAAGATAATTTAAATTCAAATCAACCGTTAATTTATTCAAATAAGTTTTCAAATTTTATTGAAATGGTAAGTCTTATTTAACCATACATCAGAGCATTCGCAGTCTTAATCGATATTTTCTTGTTAAACTTTCGTCTTGGACACATTAAAAAAGGATTTGACAATGGAATGTCCCTATTAGGACAGTAGCAATAAACTACTTCATGTTTCAAAACACATTTTCCTTTTCTAGAGCATTGCGAAGAACAATTATTTGTACTATAAGTTTCATTTTGAGCTTTTAATCTACACCCAATACCCTTTTCAGGTATGAATCCTTCAAGACAAGAGCAGTATCGGTTGCTATTAAAAGCAGCACATTTTGAATTTTCGCCGCATCCTGATTCATTTAGGCATGCATTTTCACATTGATGCTTGACATAGTTACAATATTCATTGTCTTCACAGAACTTATGATGAGAACATCCAGGACTACAAAGTCTAGTTTCAAAATTGCAGTACTCTTTTTCACCACAGCTGTAGTCAGCTTGACATCCAAGCAAGCACATATTTTGATCCAAATCGCAATATTCTTTATCATCACAATTATCATCAGATCGACATCCTTTTGTACATATTCTAGTGTCCTCATTACAATATTCATCTTGCTCACAACTTTCATCATACCTGCATCCAATCATGCATTTCCAACTATCATCATTGCAATACTCATCGGTTTTGCAGTGCTTATGATGACTACATCCAATTTCACACTTTCCATTTCGACATAATTTATTTTCGCTGCAACTGCCTGGGCGGCATCCCGTTTTACATTCACTACCGTCACAATATTTATCGGACTCACAATCAGCGTCATATTGACATCTTTTTGAACACTTGAGTGTTTCATTTCTACAGTGTTCATCTACATTACAATCTTTGTTGTTATTACAAGAATGCACGGAGATGGTTGGAGTGGTACAAATTAACTGGAGATTAAATTTAAAATTAGTCACTATTTATTAAGTTGTTAAAGGAGCTTCAAATCTGACAAAAAAAAAATTAGAAAGAAATTCACAAGGCTTTGTAAAAAGGATCTTCAAAAACAAATTAATTCGATTGTAGTTCTTAGCTTCTATCCACTTCTATAAATTGGAAGTTTACTGTTACAACTCATATCACAACAAACATCCGTGCAACAGTTCCTACTTATCATATGATGGGCTTCGGTCATATTAAACCACCAAGCGAGGTAAAGGACACAAACGTTAAACAGTTTTTAGACGAATCAGCGAATAGTGTGATTGCAATGTGCTTCGGAACAGTTGCAACAGAACTAAATGAAGAATTATACAAAAAGTTTTTACAAGTTTTTAAAGAACTTTCGTTTGATGTTATCTGGAAAATTAAATTTAAACATTCCAAGGACCTTAATATTGCAATAAACATTTTGCTGAGTGGGTTCAACTTGACGATATTTTAGCACATAAAAATGCTAAAGTTTTTATTGCTCATGCAGGATTGAAAACAATCGAAGAAGCTATTGATAGATTAGTTCCTATGGTCCTCATTCCAGTTGCTTATGATCAGCCATTTAACGCAATGTTTCAAACTAATCGTCAAATTGCAACAGAAGTTGACTTGAATAAATTCACAAAAGAATCTTTGAAGGAATCAAAATTAGAAATGACTAAACCAAAATATAAGGAGAATATCAAAAAGATTCGCGAACTTAATTACGATCGAATGTTGACTGCCTTTAATGAAGCAGCTGTCAATATTGAATATTTGATTAAATGCAATAAAACATTTGGATATCAAAACTAGTGTATCGGGTAGAAACCCAATGCGGATATATTCACACCGTACCATCAAAATAAAACATCCAAAAAAAAAAGAAAATACATTTTCAATTTTGGACTTGGGACAGGTCCAGTCAAAATCTAGTTTTTCACTTTTTTCTTCGAGGATAAATCCAAATACAGTAAAACTTTGTATGAGCATTCTAATCCTCAGGTCTCACATTTCTGAATTAATAAAATTTTTTTGGACAAAATTTTAAGTCACGTTGTTTTTGAATGTACAACCAAATTTATAAAATTTGGGTATGACGACATATAGAATACATTTCTTGCTTTAGATATTTAAAACTGTTTTGTATAAATATTAGTATACTCACACAAAGTTTCACTGTATTTGGTTAAACCTTCGAAGAAAAAAAGTGAAAAACTAGATTTCGACTAGACCTGTCCCAAGTTCATAATTGAAAATGTATTTCCTACTTGGTTCTTTGCTCAAAAAAATTTTTTTCATCCAAAGTTTAATTTAAAATAAAAAAAAAAATCACAGTGAACTTTTAATTTGAAAAATTCGTAAGAAAGGAAAGTTTTTTGCTTTTTCTGAAGCAACGGCTGTTCCTACCTTGCCCAAAAACAATACAGCTCTTCTATAGAGCAGCACGGATCAAATGTAAAAAACTAGAAGTCTCTACAATGTCTCGTTATTGAGATTTCTTGCTGATTAACTTGCTTACTTGCTTGCTTGTTTGCTTACAGAAATCGTATTTTGCGATTTTCTCAGCAATGCCACAACCAATATGAAATCTGTTTTTTTAAAATGATGTAAAACTTCAGGCACAAACTTTTCTTCTGCGACCTTTTATAACCAATTTTGCTTTGTTTTCTCACAAAATGCGAAAAACTGATTTTTCAATCTGCATTAAACCAATAGATTCACACGTGAAAACGGTGTGAATATAATAATCAGAAACAATTTACGAATGGGAATCTGCTTAAACTTTTATATTCAATTACTAAGATAATTATTTATTTTTTTCTGCTTGGTTTTTTTAAAAATGATGAATAAAAGCTAACAATAAAGCAAATCATGCTTGCGAACTTAATTTAAAATACTTTGCCTGAATATGAAACCAATAATTTGTTTTTCATAAGTCAAACTTATTTGAACTCTTAATTCACAAATGGAAGACACTTGCCCGAGTAGCACCAACAACAACAACTGGTTTTACGTCGACGTCAAGGCACCATCAAGTAGAAAAAAGCACGTCACGCCGCAAATTTACCGTTGTGGCAACGCTAAGGCTTCTTCACGCACGATTTCGCCCCATTATTTCATTGTTCAAATGGGGCGAAATCGTGCGTGAAGAAGCCTTAGCGTTGCCACAACGGTAAATTTGCGGCGTGACGTGCTTTTTTCTACTTGATGGTGCCTTGACGTCGACGTAAAACCAGTTGTTGTTGTTGGTGCTACTCGGGTTGGTGGAGCCACCGTCGCTAGGATGTTTGAATTAATATTGTTAAGGACTAAACTACACGCAGTTGTGACTTTTTGATAATAGATGACAGCACTCGACAGTAAAGGTTATGAACTTACCAAAATAAAAAGAAGAAAACTTTTCATAGCAAAAGTCACACTTTGCTTATTATTCACCGACTTTAATTCTATTACTGAGAATATTTCGTTTAAATTGATGCGATTTATGCCAAATTATCATGTTTTGAAATTTCTTAGTGAGAGAAAAGTGAATCTTATCAGCTGATGTGAGTAAATGAAACAAATCACATGCTTGTTTTCATTTTTAGAGGATTTTTGAGTTTACAACAAACATTTTGCTTATATATTCTATCTAAATTACGAATTACATATTAATTTCTGAAAACTTAACCTTATAATATTTTGGCGCCGAAATAATCCAAAATGCTCAATAATAAAATTTAAATAATTATTTTCAGCCATACATGAGAGTTTTTGCAGATTTTAATGAAAGTTTTCTAAATTTTGAAGGACATTCAATGTATGGATTTGCCAATGGAGCACTTAAAACATTACAGAAGCAATAAATTATATTGTCTTTGAATAAACACTTCCCATAAGGTCCACAATAAAGTGAGCAGTTTCTATTATCATAAATATCAGCTTCAGTTCTAGGTCTACATCCAAGATCTCTTTGTGGGAAATATCCATCATAACATGAGCAATATTGTCTGTGATTGGATGTAGAACATTTCGAATTGTCACCACAATTAGAATCAGCACAAGTTGAATTACATTTATGGATGTGATAATCACAATATTCATGATCTTCACAAGCAATTTCACTACTGCATCCAGCTTTACAAAGTCTATCTTCAAAGTCACAATATTCTTTCTTTCCACAATTAAAATCTGATCGACATCCAGGCAAGCATTCCTTTGTGTCAAGTTTACAATAGTTTTCATCCTTGCAATTGTAATCAGATCGACAACCTTGAATACATTCTCGTGTGTCATCATCACAATATTCTTCTAACATACAACTTTCATCTGAAGCACATCCAGTTCGGCACTTTGAAGTGTCATAATCACAAAATTCATCTGATTTGCATTGATAATCGTATCTACAACCAATTTCACACTTTCCATGCAGGCACACTTCGTTTTCTGAACAACTTTCATCTGTACGACATCCTGTCTTACATTCACCATTGTCACAATATTTTTCTGGGTCACAATCCTCGTTGTAGTCGCATGAATTCTCTGATGCTGTAGTTAAAGTTATAGAGAGGAACTGGAAGTAGATATTAGAAGAATGTAAATTAACATTGAATGACTTTTGCTCATCTAAGAGCATAACTCGGGCTTAAAAAAACATATATCGCTTTCCTTAATGCAGTGCTTCTCAAACTACACGATGTGTAGTTTAAAACCTTAATGAATGTCTTAAAGTGTATGGCACCAAAAAAACTCATTACTAGATAAGTTTCGCGGTCCGAATAGTTTAAGAAACACTGCCCTATCTGATAACGGCAATGAACCCTAACCAATACTCTATCCAAAAATTAGTATGCCTCAAAATCTGTTCAATTTCAAGGCTAGTCTTAATTTCATGCACTAAATCAACAAAACAAATCTTTTTACACAATTTTACAGTCAAGTTTATGAACTCTTACTTACAAATATCAACAAGATTATTCTCTTCATGCTTGAAGTTCAATATGATTAATCTTGGTCGACAGTATTTTTGAGACTAAAACAATAATTTTGTTTCAAGAGATTTGCGCAAGAACAATTTATTTTCGACTCAGAGAGGATTAAAAATGAGTTAAAAATTATTAGTTGACATTATTATAAAGCTGTTTTGGATTTTATTGACTTGAATTTGACATTTATTTTTGTTTTGGAATTTGGAATTCCTTAAGGTTCAAATCTTAGCTATACAAATCGTTGGAAATGATTTTTCGTAGCCTTGAAAACATTTGTGAATGCAAAAAGAACGCATTTTTGTGCTGCACAAAATCAATGTCCTGTGTTTCAGTGGTTTTCTGAATTTTCGGACAGTTTTGTAGAAATCAAAATGTTAATTCTGAAGCTCTGGTTTTATAGTTGACTCAGTTATTCTTAGCTAAGAGCAGTGTTGATACAAAGTTGGAAATGCAGTGACTTGTGCCTTTGATTTGAAATTGCCTACGCTTATGTCCACATTTTTAAAGACATTAATTCAAAGTAAGTATTCAATATTTTTATTTATTTCCTAGTTATAGTATGTAGCAAAATCAATATAAATCCACTTTTAAAAAAATAATCCACTTTTAAAAAAATCCATTAAGTGCACCCCACGAGATGCAAAAGAGTTTCAAGAAAATATCGCCAACTCAATAAAATCTGATGATAACCGTGAATTTATAGACAATAATGACTTTTTCAATAAAAATAATCTACTTATAATTATTATAAATGCCTCCACGTGCTTTTTGGGACTATCAACAGAGTAAATAATCTTTTTGGATCATTTAAAAATTAAAATACCGTACCTGAAACAGTAAAAAAGTTATCATACAGCTTTATCGATAACATTCATTTTTTTTCTCAATCCACATTTAAAACAATTTAATAGCATCATTATTACTGTTCACAATTCTGGATTATTTAACTGCATTTAATGGTTAAAAAAACTCTTTTGTGTAGCATAAAAATTATTCTTTTCGGGAAGATTACATCTTATGTGACCTATATTGTAGCTGCCACAATGTGTTATTAAAATATTTTAAAGATTAGTAATTTTGATGAGGTTCTGTTTTATGATTTGTGGTACTTGATGTATGTAGAGTGCTTCATGGAATGATGTATGTTCAGAAATTCTACATCTGCCAACTTCATAGACATGATCATAGGTTTTTTGCTTAGTTGATTCACAGCCAAGTTAGCAACCATAAAGATTGTTTAAATTTTACTTGCATGAAGTTCTCTTCGATAATTTTCAGGCAGCTCTAAGTCAAATCGACTTAAATTGAGTTAACTGACAAGAAGTTGACTTCAAGCTATGAAAATCACAAAATGCTCATTTTTTAAACATCCATAAACCCAACCCGAAATCCGGTACCAAGCCAATGTGACTCTGACATGGTGCTGGATTTATATCGAAGGCTCCGAATTTCTATTTGAATATCCGACTTGTGCTTTTCGGGCAATATTCTCATAAAGTTATGAAACTCTAATTCCATTCTGTCAAAAATCATTGGTATTTCTAAACTCTTCTTATTCCAACTGCCAATTAAAATCCTCAGGCAACTAAACATCTTGAGTCAGCATATCTACTGATGATATATTGAGAAATCATCGCTTCACGACATTGTTATATCTTGATTATCAAATCGTGAAATACTTAATAATTTCGCGAAGCAGTTCAGACCAACAAGAAGTAATAATTTGGAATGACTGAATAATTTTTCAAGTGTACGCAAAAATCTAATAGATTGAATGCCTTAATAACTGTAACATTCGCAAATTGTTATACTTTAAAATACAATAATTGGTAATGAATAATGTAAAAATTTCTTTTTTGACAGCATAATGTCTAGGTAGGTGGATGATACTTTATAGAACTGTATCTTTCGATATTCTCTATTCATCTAGTTATGTTCCTGAATATTTTCATTTAAAGATTTTTATCTTGAGAACCTTTCATGTAATTTGAAGAACTGTTCTTGAATGTTAAACTGTTGTGAAATGGAATAAAACAAAAATACAGAAATATTCATGCCTTCAAGCTTTAGAGTATACCTACTTCCTGATACATAAATAACATGAATTTGCACAGTTAAATTATTGGATTTCAGTTTGTAAGTTTTGTAAAATGCTTGTAAATTCTTGAATAATTTTATTGGATGATTCTTAGATTGATTGTGGGTAACAAGGCATGAATAGTTAAATAGAGAAAATGTTTTGGTTCTTTATATTGTTGGAAGTAAAGGTATTTGTAGGTGAAATTTGATGAGTAGCTTAATTTTTGATATGAATTAAGTTTTTAAACTTCCTTCTTTTAATCTGGAAACTTTATGCATCTTATGCGATTAATAGCAAACTTAATTTGTTGTTGGAACTATTGAACTACATCATTTATCTTAGATTTTAATATAACACCAAACAGAAGAGCTTACATTTATGGCTAGATCATTGAAATCAAGAATGTAATGTAGGGTTTTGCTAATAGCAAAAGCGGCACTGCGATCGATGATCTGTTGTACCATATTGAAATCAAAATAAAATTTCAATTTTATTGTCAATCCAGATAAATACTTGATCATGTCCCTAGATGAGATTTGAACCATCTTAATTTTAAAAAAATCTTATAATGCTTTAAAACTCATTTTAAATCCAAAGATTTAAATTCCACTTACCACAGATTAAAATTATCCAACAGCAAAAATGGTCGATAAAGCAGACACAAAAAACTTTTACTTTTCAAAAGCTCCAACAGAGCTTTTACAATTCAAATTTCTCACAGCCCACGCATCAACGGCAACAGCTGATTTTAATCATCCTCAACATTTTTTTCAAAATAAAAAATTTCAATGCCTTTATCATTTGAATTCAACCTTCAATGTCAAGAAATAAGAATAAAAATTTCTCACAGCTTTAATTATTAAATAAATAAAAACCTAAACACTTCAATCAACAGTTTGTTTAGTCATGTCCGGTTGTAAAGTTGTAGCTTTGTGTACAAAAAATTATTAATCTTGCTCCTCATCAGTTAGAGAAATTTTCATTTCTCAATAATCAATGAAGTAACTTTAAGCTAATAAAACTATTTGAGTAATTTAACGTATAGCATTACACACATTTTGCATACATGATACAATATTTATCTATTATAACTGGTTTTTCGTTGTTAAATGGATAGAAAATATATATAAAAAAAATATTATGTGATTCAAACTTTAGCAAGAAAAACTTCCTCACAACTGTTGGTCGGCTGCAATTGCAATTTTTATTTTTCTGCAGTCATGCACTTTTGAGTAGTAAAGAAATTATAATTCAGTCTATTAAACACTTTCGAACGAGACGCGTATAGCGGGAAAGAAAAGTGAAAATTTAAAGCTGGATTTTTTTTTTCTTGCAATTCGTGTGCAGTTTTTGATGATAAAGTTGGAGTTGAGGTTGAAAAGTTAAAGGAATTTTTTGATTATTTGAAGATTTTAAGCAAGCTACATTAATTAAGGAAAAGGAATTAAGAATAAAATATTAGTGATCATATCTAGTGTAAAATGGACTGTGACTATGAAATATAATAATTGTGTTTATGTACAAGACATTTGCTGAAAAAAGAGTGAAAATTAAAAAAAATTAAATAACTATGAAATGCGATCCAGGAACAGCTATCTCTATCAGAGACTAAAAATCTCCCAATTTTCAATTCCAATTGCCATAAAATACACAGCTTTGTCTCACGAGTTTCTGAACAATAACTCAGGATGTGAAATTTAAATAATTCAGTACAGCAAGTGGGTAGCCATAATAAGGGGGTTCAATTAGATCATCGACAGTTTTCCAGATCACCTCACGGACAGACTTTAGTTTTCGCGATTAAAATAAGATGAAGATCTGAGTCCTTCAAAAAATATTAGAATTCAAAAATTTTGAATTGTTGTCTACATCATGGTCTAGTTAATAGTATGCTAAGAACCAAGCCTCATAATTGATAACAGTTGTCTTGTGCCCTTAGTAATGACTGTAATATGTCTGTTGTTTACTTTTAACTTAACTGCCATGTGAACCACTCCGATCGGCACATATTGAAATTCATTGAAATGTTTGATACCCGGTCGCCCGGATCATCCACGTTTAATGTACTATTCTGTACTGTATTGCTGTATATCATCATAATTTCATGTGAACTCTTGTCATATTGACGAGAACAATCTATGAAATTTGATAGATAAACAATCTTGCATAAGACTGAAAAATCAGAATCCTAATGGAAAATGAACCAACATCTTCATAACAAGAGTTTACCGGTTTCTTGTCTAATTTTTCGGTCGAAAAGGCTTAACTCTAGCACAGGCTTATTCACGTACATATGGCACGATACTCCCAAAATCCACTTTCACCCCAACACCAGTAATTCCTAATGAGCATTTCGAAATAAACTTTTCATAACAGAAAACAAACTTCAAAAGCTCACTAAATATCCATTAATGCATTCACCTTATGTCGAGTGATATAATCAAACTGTAAACCTGTTAGCATAGCTTGACCAACATTCAGTCTTTGCAAATCATTACGTAAAATTTCTTCATGCTTACAGCCTTCTCGACTTATTAATGAACAAATCCAAAGAGGAATTGAATCCTATAAGTTCTTTCTTTAATCTTTAATCAGAACCTACACATTCCTTTTAAAATTTGCAAGGTTAAAAAATGCCAGATTTAGATGCTCTTGAAAAAAGGCATACCAAACAGTTATGAACAATATAAGCAAAGAAAATTTGAGTTTTGAAGAATAAATTAAATTTTTAAATTATTCAAACACAGCAAAAAAAAAATTCCCACAAATGAACATCTGGTGGGAGGCTACTTCATGCTGTATTTATATTTACTTAAATGTAAAATTTTAATGCTCTTGAAAAAAAAAAGTTTTTATTTTAAAAAATGTTTGAACTTTTCATCGTACATGAAATATATATATTTTTTTGAGGGTGCACCATCGCTTTATGATTAAAGTTCAGGACATTAAATATGCATGAAGATTAAAACTCGTTCACAGGTTGAGTGAAAAATTGGATTTTTTTTATAAAAAAAAATGTGAATTTCTGTAATTCTTGTTAATACCTTCATCATGATTGGGTGCGATATGAATTTTTAAAGAGCTCCAACATGAAGGCACACAGCATACAAACCCATCTCAATTTTTAAATCAATTTCAACCACAAAAATCCTCATCTCAAATAGAATTTATGGAATTTCTTAGATTAAATTTCAAATGCCATCTAATGTAAGCTTGAAAGTCAACAGAATATCCATAAGCTTAATAATTCTCGTACCGAATGACTATCCCAAACAACAATCTTCCACATGACATAACACAGACTTGCTTAATTTTAAAGAAATTTATTGCTCTTCAAATATTTTTTCCATTTGCTTCGTTCCTTGAATGTCCATGAATGCTCTGTGTGGCTCTGTATAATATTTTTCTGCATTACTTAACATAAAAATTCATCCATGAATAAAAAAAAGTTTATTTTTGCTTCTTCTTTTACGAAAAAAGGAAGGAAAGTTTTCATGCTGATGATATTTTCATTACATTTGGGTGTCCATCTGTGATGGGAGTCTGCATGAGTACTTTCCGGTTGTTGAGAATTTTGAGATGAACTTTTATGATTTCTTCCACCTTAAAAGGATGAAGTCTAGCTTTATATTGCAATCTAATCTAATATAAACTGATTTAAGTTTTATTAAGTTTCGTTCCTTAGTGTTTTGTTCTTACTATGGCACCAATGAATTTCTAAACTGTCTTTAAAAGGATTTTGAAAATTATTAGATTCATGCTTTAGTTCTGGATCTCTAAATTCCTCCCAACTATAATCTACAATTAACCTTGCAAGAGTTTTATGTCCTACAAGTTATTTAAAAATGAAATTTGGCTATATCTAGTCCACAAAAAATTTTATAGACATCCTAGAAATAAATTTGAATTTCTTAAAAACAATCCAGAAAGGACAACGAGTTAATAGAAAAAGAATAAGGCAAGGAGAAAGTAAATGCTTAATGATGCAAGTTTTTTTGTTGATTTATGAATAATTCTAGAATTTTTTTGAATCAGGAAGAAAAGAAAGCAATTTTATGCAATTTCCATTTTCTCCTTTTACTTCTCAGTTCCTTTCATGAAAGATGCAAATTTAATAAGCATGAAAAACACGAAAATTTGATTCCAGAATCTTAAGTTTCACACTTTTTACTGCAGGACGTGATTTTATGACTTGGAAATTGTGGTTTTTCACAAAAGCATGCAGCTGAAATTTTCACTTCCTTCTCGTTTTTGAGATGATTAATTGAAAATAAAAAATGAAATAATAACAACGTAATTTAATTCAATTAGGGAAATTTCATTAACTGTAATGGAGATGAGGGATGATTCTTAAAATAGCAACAAAAGTAACCTTTTTATGGCTTCAAAGAAAGACTACAATTTTGAAATAATTAATTTTTTCAGGGGGAAATTTACTCAGCCTAAAATTTTTTTTGAGTAAAAAATTATTAATACAAAAGCGTAAAAAAAGAGTAAAATGTGTAAAAAAAGAGTAAAATGTGTAAAAAAAAGAGTAAAATGTGTAAAAAAAAGAGTAAAATGTGTAAAAAATGAGTAAAAAGTGTAAAAAAAAGAGTAAAAAGCGTAAAAAAGTGTAAAAAAAGAGTAAAAAGTGCACTTTTTACTCTTTTTTTACGCTTTTTACTCTTTTTTTACACTTTTTTACGCTTTTTACTCTTTTTTTTACACTTTTTTTTACACATTTTACTCTTTTTTTACACTTTTTACTCTTTTTTTACGTTTTTGTTTTAATTATTTTTTACTCAAAAAAAATTTTAGGCTGAGTAAATTTCCCCCTGAATTTTTTTAATTGTAAAAAGGCTTAAGATAGCTTGAAAAGGTTCAAATTAAATTTAAAGAAATTTTTGGTGGCTTTCTTGTAAAAATATTTGAGGAACTTTTGTGGACTCAATAGAACCTTTTCTAGTGGTGCTTATTATATTAAGCATAACTTCTTAAGATGCTTTGAACACCTTTAAATAATTGAATTTAAGATTTCTTCATACTCAGTTTTTGTTGGGATTTGTTATGAATTGATTTATGTCTAGACACTGGATCCAATGTGATCTAAAGTTCTCCTGCTAGTTGTCAATTATCATTACCAATAGCTTGCTTGACACCAACTCCTCCATAAACCCAACAAAATCCCAACTAGCCTTAATCACACGAGTATCAATGCCCAAATTCACGAATCATCGTTATCCGTGTTGAACTTTAAAGTTCAATCGATGTTAAAACCAATTCAATTATCGACCGCAAAAAAATGAATAATTGGATTAATAATATAAAGTAAATATTGATCCTCGATTAAGAGGAAGCATCATGAATAAAAAATAAATAAAATTAATTATGTGCTGAACATCTCCCATAATAAATATCAAGAATTTTTTCATCTCATCTTTCCTTTTTTGCATCACGTATAATTGAACTGAAATATCCTCTTCCGTCATTCTAATTGAACCTTTTTTTCTCTCCCATTTATTTTGCCATTTGTGCTTCGTTAAATTTCTCCTTCTTGTTTTTCTGTGAAAATGAGACCGATGGGAAGATAATGATCATTAATATTGGGGTGATTCCTTAATCCTTTTAGAGAATTAAATTAAATATTTTATTGGGTATGGGGCCGTTCACTTATTACGTTCGCATTTTAGGGGGGAGGGGGGTTTGAAAAATTGTAACAAAATGTATTCCATTAAAAACTAATCAATTTTCAATAAATTAAAGCTAGAACAAGCAGGAACATAAACATCAAACGCATACAAGTGTTAATTATGCTAACAGTAGCATGAAAGTGCCATAAATATACACTCAAAAGTGAAAATATAATGCAAACCGCAAGCAATCCAAAAGCCATAAGTAAAATGTACTCAAAACAATTTGTGGCTAGTGCTGTGGTGTACTTACTGTGGTTGTCTAATACAAAAGTTTGTGCTCAAACTGGAAATCCAAACATCAGTAATAATGGAATCTTAAAATCATTAGAAAATTTCCAAAACAGTATTGTGGCTACGCACGGAACACAAAACATTAGTGAAAGTGATAAAGTTTCGGGACTGAAGTTCAGCAACAATTATAAAAGGCTATTGAGTGAGTCCTCAAGTGATTTGGACATAAAAAATGACTCATCCGAGGTCGTAGATGAAGACGATAGCTTAACATTTGACGGCAAGAAAAATGGTTTGAAATTCGATGATTTTGTGTCGCAAAAAGAGCTTCAAAAGTCCCCAAACGACGATAAAAAATCAATTGACACGAGCTTTATTAATGTCTTTAAAGTCCCAAAATCGAAAATGAAGAAAACCTTGTCAACAAAGCATTCGTCTATGAAAAATGAGCCGGTGATAAATGACTTCAATAGTGAGCTACTGTTTACCGTAAATGATGAAAATCTCACAAACTACGACACATATTTCCATGCATTCACGCATTTATACGATCACAATAAATGGGACGTTAACACATTCTCGATTGGAATAAGTAAATCGTGCCTTAGAGACATGAAGATTTATTTAAATGATTTGAGATTGTCGAAAGATTGGGCTGTGAAAGTGTGTGACGCATCAGGAAGATATCGTGGAGCATTTTTCTTTGAAAACTCATTTTGGGTCGGTTCGAAAGAATTTTGTTATGAAACTAATGATGAATATTTGAGTGAGGGAATTCCGGAACTTCAGTTTTTTGTATATAAATTCACTGTTAAGCTGGAACCTGTTAAACATAAGGTAAGTTGGTATTTGTAGGTTATGGTCCGAGCAGCATTTCATTGTATTGACGTTTATATGGCTCCCATGACCATGATGTGCTACTTGTATGTATAAACTGGCATTTGCTCAATCCTAAGTTTTAATTGCGAGATTTATCGCTCGAATCCACTGTCATTAAATTCATCTCACACTCAACCTCAGCGATTATCTTTCAATTTCCACTAATTTTCCCCTCAAATCAATTTCAATCTAAAATCAACTTTTATTTTCATTAAAAAAATATCCGAGAAATTTAATAAACAATTTAATTTATCTTCAGCACACTCACTTGCTTTACATTTCTTCAGTTTAAACTCGTTTTCTAAGTTTTCCCATTCAGTCTAGCATTACGTAAAGAAATTATTGCATCAGGTTGCAGAAGAAGAGGAAAAAAAAATTGCATTCCAATTCACTTTCTTTCATTCATTTTGCCGCTCGAGTGCATATGATGTGCGTAGTTGTTTGTGGCTGAATGTATGCTCAATGCGGCGTCTGCTACATACGTTTATCTGAATGTTCTACACTCCATGTATCATGTTGACCCTTTTTAATGAAAATAAACAGACACAAAAAGCACACAATTGATGTTTGATGTCGAAAAGTATTTTGAATAGATATGCCGTACACAATCGTCATCTCTCAACATGATACTAATAGAAATAAAAAGAGGATGCTTAATGTGAAACTTAAACCCTTGACCTCAATCATAATTAATGGATCGAAAATGTGTCACTGTTTGTGTTTTATGGATGTTTGTGATACAGTTAAGGATGTAATTTATAATGTTGGTCTTGATTGCTCAAGAAGTAAAAATTTTTGTTGACAACTTTTAATTGGATGCTGGCATACATAGAAAGTTATTGAGGAAGGACAGTAAATTTCCCTTCATTTATTGAAGCTGAACTAAAGCTTTGACATCGTTGGTCAAGTTTTTCATGCCATACTAGCACTCAATTCCAAACCATTTAATAATAATCGTTAATTCAAACCCACTTCAAACATCAAACTCCTTATTATTCTTTACTTTATTCCAACTTGATCCGCACTCGAGTAATTTTCTCTTATAAAGATTAAAAATTTCATGCTGACTCACAAATGATTAAAGAGTCGGGGTTGGGAATTGACTGTTAAGTGATTTTTAACAAGTAGTGAATTCTTGAAGATTATGGTTTTCTGCAGCTTAACACAACAGGTGTTAAGATATATAGAAAAGGAGATAATAAGAATCTTTGATTAAGATATTGACTTTAGTTGGAATCGAATTCACTTCTATATGCCTAGACCATTGGGAACCCTAATCTCAAACTGACAAATCCCATCTAGTTTAAAACCTCACAGTACTCTTCTTAAAACAACATACAATACTCTAAGACTGATGAGAAAGGATACCAAACCCTGTATAAAATTTTCTACATAGAAAATCTCGTTCTGATGATTTTACACCCTCCACATAAGGGGCTGTTCACTTATTACGTAACGCGAAAAAATGACTTCTTAGACCTCCCCCCCTCGTAACAAAATTTGTATGAAAAAAAAAATTCCTTGTTTGAATCGTAACAAAATCTTAGACCCCCCCTCCCCCTAAAAGCGTTACGTAATAAGTGAATGGCCCCTAAGATAAACAATTTTTTAATTAGGTCAGTGAGAAAGCTGAAATTGATGTAATTAAGACTGAGCTTTTTTTTCCTTCTCAACGATTGAAGGCAATGGCACAAAAAAGGTCAAACATCCACTTGTGTTAAAAAGTCTATTAACATTATGTTTAACAAGCTGAAATGTGATGTTTAATGCTAGTTTGATAGGATAAAACTTTTTCGATAGAAAATTGGATTTTACAGAACTACATGATTGTGCTTTTGACTTTAATGACCCATTGTCTGTGTCTCGTTTATTTTTTGAGAAATCTAATTAGGAAGATGATAAGCTGTTGTGCTTAGTTTTGATAATGGAAGTTTAATGTGACTTGAAGTTGAATTGGTGGAAACTTTAATGTTTCTAAGGAAGACTTGACTTTTTAATTTTGAAACATGATTAATCATATACCCGTGGGAATAAACTTTAATCAAATCCTAGGTCAGTGATTCTCAAACTCTTCAAAGCATGAGAAGTTTGAACTGCTAAGGAGCCGTTCACTTATGACGTCCAATATTAACGACCATTTTTCAAAAAAGAACAATGGATTTCCAGGAATTTCTATTGTTCTTTTCCTTCTATTGACCCCCCCCCCCTGGACATCATAAGTGAACGGCCCCTAACCAAGTAGTTCGTCTTGAAGCAAAGTTCGGGAAGCATTAAAGCACAAGCCAAACTTGAGCAATCAATCCTGGTTTCACTCATTCGGATCATGAGATAGTTAAAATAAACGAATTAGAAAAGTACTTCAAATTACCCTTAACATCAAATCCAATCTCAAAGGACTCATATTTTTAAATTGTGTAAATTACTCTGTAGACACAATTTCTATCCAATTGGGGTTACCAAATCACATAATAAAGTTCATATTTCCAAACCTCAAAATTCTTTGGTCAGAATATTACCCAAACTCCGACTAACCTCAAAAAGGACTTTTCTTTTCTTTTTTTTATCTCCATGCCTCAAAATTGCTATCATAAACCCTCTTAATTCCAATTAGCAATTTTAGAAAAATAATTTTCAGTCAGACACGCATATTAAAATTAATTACTCAATCTCTGTATCTCCGACCCATTTATCTCAAAACGTGCAGCAAAGCTAATTTTCTACGTGCAAAAAACATCACATTATGAAGTGTAATTAAAGGTTCATTTTCACTGTTCATATGTATATGATGAAATATCATTTAACAGTCAATGCCTTATCTTGATGCTAAAATAAAAATAAAAATGACAGAAACATGCTATACAAGCACTTAAAGTCTTCAACTATTATTATCATGTGATGTGTGTAATTTCTCATCAAATGTAACGTCATGAACGAGACGATTTTGTCATTTTCATGCTCTGTAAAAAAATATTGAAGTGCGGTATGAATGTCATAACAATTGCTTTCAAACAACGCTATAAAAATTACAATCAGATAATCAGAATCACTTTTCTATGGCCAAATATTTATTGGGATTTTCTTTCCTCTACTTCATTCTTTTCTGCGGAATGAGGATGCTGAGCAAAACTGTTCAATAAATTCTTTCTCTTAACCCAAAATTGAACTTTAAAAGTGTTTGTAGGAAGACTTGGGAAAATAACTTTAATAGGATGGGGGCTGTTCACTTATTACGTAACGCGAAAAAATGACTTTTTAGACCCCCCCCCCTCGTAACAAAATTTGTATGAAAAAAAATTTCCTTGTTTGAACCGTAACAAAATCTTAGACCCCCCTCCCCCCCTAAAAGCGTTACGTAATAAGTGAATGGCCCCATGACAAGTGGTTGAAATTAAGCAAGTTTTAAGTCTCAGAAATTATTGATCAGCAAAGTTATTTAGAAAATGAAATGTAAGCAAATGGAAAGTTCAACTATGAATTAAGATTCATAAAATTCAATCCTTAAAAATTTGTTAACCTTCAAAATGCACAAAACCTTTAATAAAGTCAAGTTAAAGAACAGTTTTTGATTATTGCCACATCAAATGCACAAATTAGTTAAATGAGATCTCTCCAGCAATTATCCATTCCACTCCAAATGAAAACTGCACAAATTAGCACCAATTTGCTATATTTAAGTTCTCTAAATATTCAACACGAAATATGTCGCATTAGCACTAAAACATGACCAAACACATTAAATCTCTTGACACTAAAAATAGAAGTAGACAAACGTACACACAGATTAAGTACGACTAAAAGCACATCTCCTTCACAAAAATGTACACTTGAGAATCGAATGTAGCTGAAATGATAAAAATGATTTTACGAGGATGTAGGAAAAGAAGAAAGAAAAATCGGTGGTAGTCACTGATTTTATGGTAGAGTGAAGATAGAAACGTTATCATATCGTTTTCATGTGAAATAGAATAGAATGTCGAATGTCAGATTTCGCTCCCATAAAGCTTAAAAGCTTTCAGTTAAATTATATCAAATGGAGAAGTATGAAACACTCAACACATTAATAACGGAATGGAAGTGAGGATTAAAAGTCTTTTTTTTCTCATCTCTTCTTTTAATTGTAGCAACAGATTGGAATTTTAGATGTGGGTCAATGTCTTCCAAAAGCCTGCTCCCTTCAAGATGTCACAACAATATTAAGCCGTGATCCAGCCTCACTCGCACTACAACAAACGATAACAGTCAACGGAAATCTCACAAAAGCTAATGAACTTAATATAATACGATCGAGGCTTGTCCCCGGCAATTACAGCATATGGCAAGATCACAAATTTTATATATTCGGGTAAGTTAATGGCTCATGAACAAAGGTTGGTGAATTATTATTGTCAAGTTGCGTTCAGGCTGTTGTTTGTTATGGTTTCCTTATGACTTTAAGTCTTTGGAAGCTTTTTTAACTTCTTTTTATTACTTTTGGAGGTTGTTCGTGATTTTAATTGTTTGCTAAATTGTTTTCATCTTTAATACATTCTCTGTAAGGATGCATAGAGGTTTTCTCACTTTTAACTAAGACTTAAAACTTACAGTGCTGTTTCTTCATTCAAGAGCTCTTAGATATTTCCAAATTGCGCTAATGAATACTTTAGCTTGTATTTGCTTTATGTTGGATTTACATTGATGCAATCCGATACCATTTATAGAAAGACTCCAAACTCGTTTGAATTGTTCCATTACTCAATTCAAAGATTAAGCAACTTATTCCTGATATAACTGAAACAAGCTTGTCATAAATCTTTTTAAAGCATTTCCACCTTAAAGAACCACGAATTTCAAATATTACAATTCTTCATAAATCACAAAAAGAACCATTTGACGGAGATAATTTCATTTAAAATGTTTTTCTTGTTCCTTATTCATGGAAATACCTCTAAAGAACATAATTCAACCCCCTTAGATCTTAATCTCTTGAATATCTTTCTTGCTCATTTTACGCTAAGAAAAATTATCTTCATTATTTTGGACAACAAAGTCTCCAGCTTATTTAATACTGTCAATATGCCTTTTTGCCATTGTCTTCGTTCGTTCATAAAGAAAGCATGACCATTACTCCTCAAAAATTATATCTCATTGTTGTTTCTATTGAAAAATAATGGAAGGTCTTTAAGGAGTTGTTGATAAATGATGTTCGAGGTTTAGCGCTTGATGGCAAGACACCGGCTTTAGGTTACATTCTCAGTGCACCATTCAGACAATGTTTGATGGACATCATTTACGAACGACTCCTTAAAGAGACGAAAATTGTTTAAAGTTGAAGAAGAAAAAAGATTAAAATTGACATTTTCGTTCTTCTTCCTGCTTTATTTATTCCATTCATCGAAAAGACAGCAACAATGAGGAGCAGAAGAACAAAAATAAATTTCCTCCTCGTCGCTGTAATTTTTCATGTTCTTTAATTTCCTTTTTTTTCGTGTGTTATTTTACTCTCTTCTTTCTCGCCTTTAGATTATTCATTCTTGCACTTCTCACATTAATTATTTTTGCAACATTCTATGAGAAGACATTAATTGCAAAGGGCTTTAATCTTTACGATGAAAAGGATAATGGAAATAAGAAAGCAGCGAACAAACACCACAAACATTGTGAAAATAACAATAACGAGGATAACGGTAATAACAATAATGGCGATAAGTATGAGATGAATCGCATAAATAATAACAACAATAACAACGTAAGTGAATGTGAGATGAACAAAATGCATGTGAAGAATGATTTGCATAACCTAGGTAAGCTAAACGAGGTATTTTATGTTTGTGAATATATGTGGAATGCTAACTGTTGTTAAGCATTTTTACGAAAATAAATGTTGTAGTTGTGGAACGACTATGATGAATGTAAAGTTAGATTGAAGTTATAAAGGGAACTGGATAAGATTTTAAGTTGGATTATCGAATTTCAGATTTTTATTTGCTGGATTTGTAAGATCCAAGATGGAATTTTCAAAAAGTTTAAGTGGTTTAAAAGGTTTAGTGTAAATAACTTTATTATTGATTAATACAACTGCATAACTTCAGAATTAGACAAGCTATAACAAAAACTAAAGATACAATTATGAAAGGCGCGATCAACCAACTTTTTTTGCTGAGATTATTAAAATTTAAATAAACAGTTACAGTTTGTAAGCTCAAAATCTAGTACTATCTAATATTCCAACCAAGAACCACTTGTTATCAAGCAACACCTCCACTCAGGGGCGTAGCCAGGGGGGGGGGGGGCATAGGGGGCCCGGGCCCCCCTACGAAAATCTGATAATTGTTTTATTAAGTATTTATAGAGAAGAACCAGTTAATGTAGAGGAAGTGATGAAAGAAATGTCAAAATCAGCACGAAAAATTAAATTTTATGTATGAATAATGAATTAAATATTTAAACTTATGAAGAATGAATATAGATTTAAGGATACAAAATAACGGTTTTTTTAATTTTCAAAAATGGGCCCCCCTTCAAAAATTTTCTGGCTACGCCCCTGCCTCCACTGATTGACTTATGAAATCAATTATTCATGCACTATATTCGCTTTAGTCATCACCACCATCTGAATATTCCACAACTATAACAAGTGTATCACACGTATGTGGTTAAAGTACTTTTTGTTATGCATATTTGTACATGCACGGCATGGTACTTAAAATGAATTTAATTTCACTATCTTGAAAATGACTTTATATCATTCCTTGATATTTTCATACAAACAGGGCTCTCATCAAAAGTTTTGCTCTGCTTCGCATACGGATCGAATTCAAAAACCATTCTGACTGCAAAAACCAGCTCAGAGGTAAGAGAAGATTGATGAATTATTAATGGATATGAATGTATGGCAGCTTATGAAATCTTTTTTGATAACATTTTGCTCATAGTAAAGCGTTAAAACGGAACAATGATTCACACAAAAAAGTTTTAGCTTTATATTATTGAGCATATACGAGGACTCAAAATTCGATGCTCAATTAAAAGTTTGAAATGGATTCTGAGTAAAAAGTTGAATGAAGCTTGATCAATGCATGAATGATGTGTCCTCGAATGTTTGATTGATTGAATTTTATGGTTGATGAGATTCTTTTCAAATTGCTTAAGCTCTACTATGTGACTTTTGCGTTTTCCTGTAAAAACCATTAAGGATGTAGCAGTTAGGAAATTATGTGAATGAAAACTCATAGAAGTTGGTGCTGTACATGCATAATCGTGTGAAGTAAATATTTGCATATAGTTTGGAACTTGTTCAAGGGTAGAGACAGTGTTGTTTTCTAAGGAATGGATAAGAATTGAATTATATCTTTTATATTTTAAGCCTTAAAATTGCTCACATTTTAGAATATCTTCACCACAATCACCCCACGCCCCCTACACCCCCAATCTCTTAGCTCTTAATAAAGCAACGAGTAGCGTCCTGACTACTACACAGTGGATGCTTTAGAAACCATTCCAAACTCTGCAAACTATTAAGAGTTAAGTCGATTCATAAACCAAACATATTCGATTCAAAAAACCAAAAGAATCATCTCATGAGTGCTTACGTGCAGTATAAAATCTACCTTAATCACAGAAAATAAACGCAAATTTATCACAGAAATGCAAACTATCCTGAAAAGAGTATCATGTGTAATGAAGTAGATATATCTCTGTAATCTTAAACCCCTTTTCACAGACATGCAAAAATCAATCACCTTCCTCTATGACTAACATAGTAACACAGTAAGATCAAGGGGGAAACAACATAGTGAAAAAAGTTTTGTTAAAATATTCAGTGAAGAAATATTTTAATAAGAAATTAAAGTCAGTTTTTTTTTAAAAAAATCATCAAAACATTTTCCCATCATGATGTTTTCGCCCCATAAAAACTGCACAGTAACAGCAAGAAGATGAAATCCGAGTAGATTTGACTTTAATTTATTAAATATTCCTCGTATTTCCATGACTTCACACTGTTCAATGATACATCAATTTTTCATTATACAGTAAGCAGCTTTAAGCTTTTAGATATTTTTACTCTCCGTCCTGTTACATCCTTCATAAAAAATTTAAGTATGAACACATTATGAACACATTTAAGGCTGTAGAAAAACTTTCACAGCAAAATGTTTCTCCAAAGATCAAGTTTTATACTTTTAAACACTCTTGCGATGTCAATGTCTAATAGTTGCTTACTTAATATCCACTATTGAATGTTTACGTTCTGATGAAAGACTTGAAAATTGCTTTGAAAATTTTCTGACATTAAAAACTTTCTGTTTTGCTTCTACAGGATTCTTTGACTTGCCTTCATGGATTGAGATTTTTCACGCTGCTTTGGACGGTGCTTGTACATACGTATCTACAGATGTTTGGTATTGGAGAAAATCGGGTAAATTAATTTTCACTTCATTCCTTATTTAGCTTTTATCACATTCGCACACTGTTTAGAAAGTTTTTCCTCCAGTTGGCCTTTAGTGTTATGGCATTTTCGTCAGAATGGAAAGTTTTGGAGCTGTTAATTGACTCTGTGCTGGATTTTAGCGCAGTTTTCATTAAAATTGAACTTTTTAACGGCTTTTTGAATTTTGAAATTTCAACCTCAATTTTGCTTGAAATTTTTTAAAAAAAGATCAACCGTTAGATTTTTTAAATCCACAAGAAATCTTTAATAAAGTATAGTACAAGTTTGCACATCACAAACAACCATACAGCTAAATAGGCTTAAAGGATTCATAAACCAACATTACAAAAATGCTAAAAAAAACTTTACAAATGATATTTTCATGAACTTTTTTTCCATATTTTACATCTAATTTAAACCTTACAGTATACACGAAAGATATCAGAGCGTAGATTCATATATCAGATGGTTGGCAACGCTACATACTCAGTTGATACATTTTTCTTCATTAGCGGCTTACTTGTTGTATTATTATTTCTCAAAGACAACAAAAAGGGTAAAAGCACAAAGTCTATGAGCAACGGAGCCAAAAGAATGGAGTGTGAGGATGTAGACAGTAATAAACATTCATCTACAGATGGATTTTGGTTGAACAGCTTGTGCAAAACATTATGGCTAATTTTGTATCGCTTTCTACGTCTTACGCCTGCATATTTCTTCATTATGGTCCTCACAGAGCTCTCGATGAAGTAAGAAGAATGCTTTATGTGAGCATAACTTTTTTTATTTTTATTTCCAACACAATAAATATATTTATTTATTTTCATTCCTTTACTTTCGTTCGTGCCATAAAGGGTCACATACAATCAAGCTGTCCTTACACCAGCATTATCAGATCATGTGAATTGCAACAAGTATTTCTACCGGAATTTGCTGTATGTCAATAATTTTTATCCATTGAGCGAGATGTGTATGATGTGGAGCTGGTATTTGGCAAACGACTTTCAATTTTATGTTGTTGTCATTATTCTTCTGCTGCTGTCAACTAGGTCAGTTGAAAATTATTTTTGATAAAATCAAGGAAAAGCGAGGAAATTCTTTTTGGGTTAAGTTTATTTGAGGAAGAAATTGAATTGATATCCTTAAAGTTCTTTCAATTATTTCTCAAGCATCAAGTCCAGAAAATCTTCATTAAAAGCATAAATATGAGAAGGAACTAATTAAAATTGTTGGTATAAACACAAACTATCATAATTCACTAGAACTTCCTGTAACATGATAAATTATGTTCAACATGTCTATGAAATATAACTTATCAGAAACAGTTTCAATAACAGAAAAGTTCGACAGGGGTCGTTCACTTATGACGTCCGAAATTAACGGTTTCAAAAAAGAACAATGGATTTCCAGGAATTACTACTGCTCTTTTTTTCTGACCCCCCCCCCCCCCCCCCAGACGTCATAAGTGAACGGCCCCATATTCCTCGAAAGATTTAAAACAATAAAGGGATTATTCATAAATGATGTCTTTTGCTGTGTGACATAACATTTTGTTGCAGAGCCCCTTCCAATTTTAAGATTTACGTCATTTATGAACTGTCCCCAAATTTTAATTATTCTTCTTAATTAAATCATTCTAATGTTTTGCAGGTTCTTCAAATTCTCAGCAGTTACAACAATTTGCCTCTTACTCCTCTCATGGACTGTATCCATTTACATCTCATTGGATCATGGATACACACACAAAGTTGCTGATCCCTTCGAATCATTCGACTTTCTGTACGATAAGCCATGGCAGAGATTCGGTCCATATGTTATGGGTATTTTCTTTTTATTCTGCTTCATTTTAGTGCCATCACGTTGAATTATTAATCGTAATTTTTATGTTTGTTTATTGCCCATTAAAGCACACATGCCATAGTGGATGATGAAAAAAAAATTTATTTTTGTCTCTCTTTTTTTTTGTTATTTATAGGAATGATTGCTGGATACATTTTATATCGTGTCAAAGTTCCACCGAAAGTACCATACGTTATAAATGTGATGCTATGGTCAATTTCACTCTTTATATTATTCATCGTGATATTTGGTGTTCGAGGAGGAGAGCTGAATTTGATAGTCACGTCGCTTTATGTTAGCCTTGGTCACACTGGTAATCATCCACATTCAATCATATCATCTCGTCTTTTTATAATGCTCGTGTGCTGAAGAGAATTTGTTTTTTGTTCTGTTCAGTTCTGACTTTTTTGTTTGTTCTGATCAGGGAAGGATTTAGAATTGGGTGCTAAGTAGTTTGGTAAGGATTATTAATGCCGGGGTAAATTTGAAAGTCAAGGACTTTTATAAGGGATTAGATGCTCTTCTGCGGGGTCTTTTGTCTCTTTAAATGGTCTTAGTGTCGATTAATGTGGCTCAGTCACTGTTAGTGACTGCTTAATCACTCCGTGGTCACAGTCCTAATCAACCTCACTTTACTAAGATACTAGAAGCGTTTCATTCATCACCAAAAGTTCAAATGACTTACTAAGACCTGGTTATTCAAGCTCTAAGCTACCCTCTTCGTTCCTCATCCTCAAAAAAAATTATCTAAAACCATACCACCAACAACTTCTCATACCCAAAAAAAATTAAAACCCACCCCTGCCTCTGACCTTCATCATTACACAAAGACACATCCTTTATGTCACGACAAATGTAAAGATATATTGCTTGTGATTTTGCATGACACAATGTACTTGATGATCAAAAAATCTTTCAATCTAGCAAAAAGGGAAAATTTCATTTGCAGAAATGTTCATGACATGCCTTTTCAAGGTATAGAAAGCATCATGCCTACCTGCATTGGATATGAATAAATAAACAAATGAAATTCAGATATGAGAAAAAGGGATGCAAAAAAAAATGGTGAGAGGATTACATAATAAAAATAGGACAAAAGTAAGGATGCATGAATTTTATTGGATATACATAAAAGTGAATGAAGGAAGGTAAAGGGCAGTAAAAAATTAAAGTTTAAATGTATTGATCCAAATTGATTTTTATGAAATTTGCTTGAAAAGCTACAAAAGAAAAGCAGTAGTTGCAAAGAAGTTTAGACGCTGGTGTAAAAACTTAGGTTAGATCTTAGGAAATGTCCTCTTAGATGCATGGTTTGGCACATGATAAAATATGGTCCAGCACCCAGAACGAACAAAGAATCAAATGGAAGCAGTGTCAACGTGTTTTTGTAATGATAGAACTTGTATGTGCATTGTCTGTTTGGTTGCCATGGCTACTAAATTACAACAAGTTCGGCATCATCAGCTGTTATTTATGGAATCGCTATCGTTAATTCTTACCTCAGTACGCAACTGCTCAAACCGCACCTAAACAGTCTACTAAGACCAAATCACTTAACCTTTAATCTAATCTCAAATTCCCATCAAATAGCAAACAACATGCCTTTAAATCAAACTGAACAGCAAAACAAATCAGCATGAGCACAAAAAAAGTCCAACAACATCCTTAAATATTTATTTAAATCCCATCGAATAATCGAATTTGTTTATTTTTTGTTTTGTTCTTTCTTGTTCCCATCGCATCCACGAACAACAAAACACACGCAATGTCAACGACAAAAACCAAAATCGGAATTTCATATTGGGTACCGGATAAATAGCGTGGGGATTTGCATTAATATGGATTACATTGTCATGCTGTTGGGGTCTGGCAAAGTCAATTAATAGTTTATTATCATTTAATGGCTTTTTACCATTAAGTCGATTGACATATTGTGCATACCTCATCCATCCATCTGTCATGATGGTAACAAGCTTCCAAAGCGAAGGTCCAGTTCATCTAAGACATGGATTGATCGTGAGTAAAATAAATTTTTTTGTTTCTATTACTTTCTCATGTTCTTGTCAAAAAAAAGTATTGATAGATATTGTGCATGTAGCATGTTTTGGTATGTGTCTTGAATGTAGTTTTGTGTTGGGGAACTTACTGTGTGTGTTTGGGAAGTTTGTTGGTATAATTGGATGTGAAATAAAGTTTCAATTTAGTGCTGCACTTGATTTTTTAAATCTATGGAATCACAATTGAGATGCAATTGCTCTTCAAGCATTAAAAAATAGTAAGATCTCTCGTGGATGATACTGGCTTTTTTTCGTGGACATAAGAGTCTAGTTAGAGACGTATGATTGTCTCCAGTGGCTTAAGATATCAATGAAGAAAACAAAAACATGCAATCTCTGCTTTGAACATTTAAAACGTGATGCAGCTGGAAAAGTCGGAATAAATAAAGGCTAGGACCATTTTCAAGGCTTTCCCAAGGCATACCTCAAGTACTTTAACTTGGTCTTAGTCAATTTCGGCTGTTCCTTATAGTGAAGAGTTGAATTTAAGATTTTAGAGAATGGTACAAGAGATAATGCTAGAAGCTGACGTCTAGAAACCCTGTATGTCCATCGCTGCACGTCTACTAAGTTGCATCCCTGCACCCCTATCCTAATATTATTTCTATTAATTTTCTACATGAAGACATCCTCAACAAAAGACAACAACATTTTATGACAAATTTTCTCTTCTCATTTTCAGTTCACAGCATTTCTGGGCAATGCAACGATTTCATTCATGCTGGCATTCATCATCTCAGTTATGATCGAAGCGCCTGTCATAAGACTGCTGAAACTTTTCCTTAGGAAATGACGAAGCATTTTATCATTCTTGGATTTGGGTCTGTTTTGAAAAAAAAAAAGAATTTTTTTCATGCAGCACAGAACAAGCACTTGATGAAAATGCCAGTGATATGCAATTTATCGTTCAATTCTACAATTTTTTTTTCTTTTTCAATTTATTTTTATTTGTTATACAATTCTAAATGCTTCATGTCTAGTACGTAAGTTATTGATAGTTGGTTATTGTGTTTATTTTCATCACCATTTACTTGTGTTTCGTTATTTGTGATACATACTTTACTTGTTACAAATTGAAATAAAATCTAAAAATACAAACTGATTATCCTTTCTATTGAATTTTCTAGACTGACTGGTCCAATGAACTTTGATGCAAATTAATCGCTGATTATTTATTCATGAATTCATTTTATTGCAGCATTTATTAAAGGGGACGAGAAGAGGAACAAAGGTTACATCAGGGGTGTAGCAAAAGGCAGGGACGTATCCAAAAAATTTTTAAAGATTAAGCCCCTATTGTTGATATGAAAATTTCGACTTTCTCGCTAAAATTAAGTATGCACCCCCACTCCAACACCCCCCCCCCCCCCCCTCCATTTTTTAAATTTTTCTGTCTATGTCCTATACCAGGAATGAATAAACGGAATTCTTTTGAAATTTGTCTAAACCCAAACAAAGGGGTTATTTTGACCCCAAACTCACCCCTTGACTACGACAAGAAATGAACAGCATACAAAAACTCATACACCGTAGTAAGCAAACGACCCCTAAGAAGCATAGAAATTAAAAGTGATAAAAGTTATAGAAAATAATGTTGAATTGATGCAAAGAAGGAGGGGGTAGTCATCGATTTAAAACGTTCTTTGTTGGTTTATGCTGATTGATGGGTGAATTATTGATACGCTTTTCAGGGTGAGAGTAAGTATCGTTGCTAAATCCTATTATGGGTATGGTTTGGAATTTTCTCTCTCTTTTAGAAGTATGACAAGATTGACATCTATTCATGAGGAATTTTGATATTTCTGTATCGTTTACTGATGCTGTTGTATGATATTTTGGTAAGGTGGAGTTTGATTTGGGGAATGAGGTTTAACTATTTGTAGCTTAAAGCATTCCTTTAAATGTTATTGACATAGTTGTGCAGCTTTTCAGGTAGAACATAATGTGATTAAATGATTAGTAGATTATTATTATTATTTATTTGTCGACGTTACCGCCCGGAAGAATTAGTATTTATACATGTTTTACTTTTTACATTGATTAGTGATACATTTTATATCACTATGGGTGACGTAGAATCAAGCTTCTAATCTTCAAATCTAGGTTTCTATTAAATTCAGGCTCTCGTTTCAATCTTCTGTTGGCGTGACGTGATACATTTCAGGTCCGTTCTGACAATATTCCATTATAAGGTAATCTTGTAGCTCTCGTTCCTATTTCTCCCGCTACACTTCAAGTTCCTGTTCCGTTCCTTAATCCAACGTTGCCCAAAATGCCCAATAATGGCTTGATCTCGTACATTAAGCAGTCGAATTATCTAAACTTCTGAGAAAGAACAAATTTGGAAATGGCTGGATTCGAACCGACGACCTTCGAGTTACCATACCAAATTTGAGCCAAGCGCCTTACCTATTCGACCAGCAATGCACTTAACTGCTCAATACAAATCTCTGGCTACGTTCTTACTAGACTAGGAAGCCTTCTTCGTCCCTATCTATGCAGCTAGAGCCACCCATCAATTTTACCTATCCATTGTAAGTTGACTCCATAAAAATAATCATTGAAATACGAAATAATTAACATTTCTAATTGAAATTTTACTATCTTTGTTTTCAGTCTCTCTCCTCCTTCCTTTCTGTGTGTTTTCATGCTGTAAAAATTAATTAATTAAAGTTACATTTTATAGCAATGCTAATAAATTATTTTTCCATTTTACTCATTTTTAACTATTATGTGCTTTTCTTTATTTGCTTGTTTACAAAAACAATTTGATAAATGACGAGAATAAACTGAAGGAATAAGGCAAGGAAAGGAGGAAATTTACGAAGAAACAGACAGAAAATTTTATTTTTCAATTAAAAACCGACAAGATAATATTCTTTTTTGTTGAGATGGGATTCAAGCTACGGAAGTAGATGAAGAAAAGTTGAATGATGTGATTTTCAAGCACGATGATTTTCTTTTGTCTGAGTTTATCTGTTATTTATTGTTTGCGTGGAAAGGTGCAAGATTTAAATAAAACAATGGCAATTTGTAATCGGAGGGTTTGTTTAAGTTTAAGTTGGAATATCTGATTTCTTGATATTATTTGATTGATTCAATAAGTTTTGTTTTGCATCTGACTTTTTACGCTTGATTGATGCAAATATTTGAAAATTTCAAGAAAATTAGCCTTTAAATTTTTCGCGTCTTTGAAGCAAACTTTCAAATAATTTTTTGCATCAAATTTTTAATTTTCACCCAAAAACAGCAACATCTATTCCAATTTCACCAAAAAATCTACAAATGTACTGTCACTAACATCAAATGCACATAACGGAAATGATTTTAATTCAAAATGATCGCCACAATTAAATCCAATTTCATTTTATCTTCATGTTCTCTTTTATTGTTCATTCTTCCACTTCTACTGCTTTATTATCATGTCTTTATGTCTAATGTATGTTTTTTCGTGGCTGTTTCAAATTAAAGTAATGAACAGCATTTTACGAGTCATCATTAAAGCACTGAGATAGTAAAATGTAGAACATTGTGTTCATGTGCAATTTACACAAGTTTTCAATGTCACCAGCGAATGGGAAAATGTTTGTGGCTATAGTTGTCAACATTTAAAACTGAACAAAAGGAATGATTCTGGATTTACATTAAAATTGAATTTAATGGTTAAGGAAAACGGAATTAAGATTGAAACATCTGAATCTTTTGTGCTGAAGCTTCACAACTTCATGAAGGACATAACAAAGAATATTTTTCAGATTTTGATAAATGATGAAACAGGTTTAGTAACAATAAATTACATTATCAGAAGGAAAAAGGCAAAAGTTTCTTAATTGCGACGCAAATTTTCTTGCATAAAGTTTTGCAAGATTTAATTCAATTAATTCTGATTCATAAATTGCCTCAACAATGCTCTCAATTTTCCAATAAGAGAGTCAGTGAAGCTTTTAGATACAGAAACTGTTATTTTGGAATGTTAAACTTCCAATGGAAGTAACCTTACCACTTTTCTCCAAAGAATCCTTCCAATAGAACATCTGGAATGACTTCGGCTTTTCCAATGACTATTTTGTTCCATTGGAATCATCCCCTCCACTTCCTTACTGGAATTGCTTAATACAAATTTTATGGAATGTCCACAGCTCTTTAAAGCATAAATATACACGTTTTTCCAGCAAATTTCACGTGCTTACAGCAGGCAATGTGCTTTCAAATGGAAATGGAAATTTATTTTTGAAACATCCACGATTCCTTTTTTGTTGAGCTAGGCAAACAAATAAAGCTCTTCAATTTTCTTTGAGAATTATGAAGCATATAAATTGCCGTAGCCTTAAAGTAAAGCAAATAGTCGCTTTCAATTTGCTTCCGCATTTTTTTTTTTTCATACTCTCAACAAATAATTTGCTAATCTGATATACAGAACAGAAATAGAACAAACATGACGAGGAAAAAAACATTTTTTTCGCCTCAAGCACAGAATTATTTCGGTACGGTTATTATGGTTATTCTTGTGAATCAAGAAGATACAGAATAAAAGTACCATAAATCAATGATAAAGAAGCCAACAAAGAAGGGAAGGCATGAAGAATATTGCTGCGTGATATACTTACAATTTCATGCATGCAAAGTGTCCAAAAATAAACTTGTTCGAATTATCATCCATTCATTTCCTTGAGCACATCTACATTTTTGTAGCAGCTTCTGCTTCATGAATGCTAATGCCTTTTTTTAATCTATCAGTCTGTCGTCAGGACATTTATAAGATTTCAAAGATAATAAGAAGATTGAATAGAAATAGAAAATAATTGGAAATGGAATGAGAGATGCTTTTGAAAGGAAGTGGGAAATTATGTGGAATCAGGAACGATTTAATGTTTTTTAAGAGAATGGGGGAAGGAGGATAAAGTTAGGATTTGGATGGTTTATCACAGTTATTTTAAGTAAGCAATCTAATAGATTCAATTGATTAGGAATGATTGATGCAATTAGATGCGCAGTCAGATTTTTTTTAAGGTAGAACATCAAAGCCTTAATCCATCTAAAACCTTTCCTAGGATCAAACTAGAGTTGTCAGAATTGATTGTCCTACTGCTTCTTCAACTTCATAACAGCTGCTTGTACTCGACCATTGAACACCCTAAATAAGAGCAGTTCTTCATGATCCTTTTTATTACCATACCCAAGGAGACTTCAACAACAGCTATTAAGTGTAATGAGCCAACATGATTATTCACGCGGTAAAAAATAAATCTTAATTTTAATATTTTGCGATTTTTCTTCTCGCATTCATAATTTCCACTTCCACTTCCTCACAATGCAATGCCAGCAAGCAAAAGCGACGATGATGGATTAGATTTCATAAATTGTAAAAAAAAAGTGAAACAGTAAATTCTAATAATCATGAAAAAGGAAAGAAAGATTCACCTTGTTCTGGTATGCCAAATATGTACAGCAGCTGCCACGCAAGCACATCTAATTTTTCATTCAATTTTATCATGTTACACCTGACTGAAATGGAGGTTGATTCTGTCCATGTTTTTTTAAGGTTTACATTTACTAAATTTCCATTTTCATATTCACACAAAATTTTCAATTTTTGTGAATATTTTATGCCTTCTTTTTTATTCTATTTCTGTTTCCTTTTCTCACTTACTGACCTGACACTGAAGTTATACTTAATTCATACCCCAATTTCTGTTACTTTATTATTCGGTCGGAAGATTCTTTTCATTTTTATAACGAAAATACATTTCCATATTTTTTTTTGGAGGAAGCCTTAAAGATTTTATATTTTATTAGCATGGTAAGTTGAAGATTTTGGTGCTTGAAACTTGGGGAAGTCTATGTGATGCTTTACAGATTTTTATTTCTTCAGAGGTTGTTATTTGGAAAGCTGCTATGCGTAAAGAGGGGTTGATTGTGGGTGAGAATTTAATCCATAAGCAAAGTTGATGTCAACATGGACTTACTTGTGTCTAGTGAATCAAGTAACAGACGAGGCTTAATCACAAACTCATGACTCACGAATCACTCCTATAATAGCCAATCGATCTGTTGCAATAAGGCACACATTTTTGATGATAACAAATTCGTAGATTAAAAAACCTGAATCATCCATACTTAAGAATTTAAGTGCTTAATAGTAAACACCCTAATGACGTCCAACAATTTACAGCATTAGTCATTTAAAGATATTTTAGTTGAAGACAGTTCGCAATACAATATTCAGCACATCCAATCACTTTCAAAATATTCCCGTAATCTTCAAAAACTTATCAAAAACATTTCATTGCCTTACAAACCTTTCATTTTTAAGCTTTGATTGATGAATCAAATGGATTTTGAAGTCTATCAATTATCAGTTATCAGAGCGATAAGCCTGCGATAAGTTCAGCTCAATTTCGAGTATTAAAAACTTAAATAACTTTAAAGTTCCACAGCAGTTGTGAAGTCGCATCGTATAGAACCAGAGGTAGATGCACGTCAGTGCTTTTGTGACATAAAAACTTAATTTCTTTATTTTTACAGACACAAAAAGTCAGAAACAGTGAGCAAAAATGAAATTCCTTGGATTTGCAATCGTTTTAATCTTCTGCATTGCTGCAGCTCTTGCACAAGATGAACCAGCAGCATCTGGACCACTTAGCATCACTGGAAATAACATCGGAGATATTGTTACAGTCGGAGTAAATGCAAATGCAGTCGTAAGCAGTAATACAGAATTGAATATTCTCACAATGCTTGCTGCCTTGTTGAACCAGCAACTTGCTGTTGTTGGAGATATTCCACTTCCAATTGAACCAGCAGAGACGAAATAAAGGAATTTTAAATATTTTATTCTGAAAAAGCAATTTTTTGTGATTTTATTCATGACATATGCATTTGATTTATTATGCATTATTATGATGAAGGAAGAAAAAAATGTGGAAATGATGACTTTACATGATATTTTAAGAAATTCATTTTTTGTGGATATTATGAGTTTTTCTAAATGTTTTTCTGTGCTTTTCTCGATAATCTTTCTGATCAGAGGCAAAGCTTCGTTTAGGGTTGTACCTTATCATCCTACTATAAGCCTTAGAGTCGGGATAGTACCAGAAAATCTAATTGCAGCCACTGTTAATTGCTGCTTACCTTAAAATTGCGCTTTATACCCTTATCAATCCTTAACATTTTTTACTAGTTCCTATATCGTCCTACTCTAGAAAGCACAGCATATTGCTTAATCATTCAAGTGAAAAAAAAAATCGAAAGATGAAAAATGGACTGGAATGGACCTTTTTATACATACTTGAGAGTCTTATAGTATTCACTTGATATATCGACTATAAGATATCTCCAATTAGGTAGTTCAATAAGATGAAGGATTGAAAAAGTCAAAATCATTCATATCTTAATCCTCTATTGTATTTTAATCTTATCGTTCCTCTCGGTAACCTTATCAATCTGTAAGCTTTTATTTTGCTTTTTATTGGGTTTGATAAGTTTTAGATTATTGCTGGATGCTTGTGTAATTTTGAATTGTATTACAATTTTGAAGTGAATATTTATAGATTTTTTGAGAGATTTAGATGAAATGGTTTAAATATTTGTTTAAGGAACGACTTCCATACTTTAAGACATGCTTATTTGACCTCAAGACATCAAATGACTGCACATGATGTCGTTTAAATACAAAACTATAATGAATATTCAACAAACTAGTACAGATGAATATTTCAATATTGGTCATGTCATCTCCATATACCTGCATATTGATTTCCTATCCCACAAGACTGGTGAGTGCTTAATACTCAACTGCATAACGTTCCGGTAATAATGTGTCATTCGCAAGTGATGTCAATCAAAATATCCCATCTCATTTCAAATAGCTTCAGAACCTTCCATTACTCACAATTTGGCAGATACAAACTCAGTTAAAATTTAGCTCTTCAAACTGGACGTCATTAATAAAAGAGACCCTATAAAATCATTTGCAATCGTGGTTATCATCCTTAAAAATATTGGATATACATGTATCCTCATAAATTAATATCCAAACGATGATTCTGTACCGTACAATAAATATAAATATTGACAGCCAATTAATTCAGCGTATCGTCTACCTTGTCGTGTATAAAATAATTATATGGACTGGATATTTACATTTTTCCCTCGGTTTATTGAGTTTTTATGGTGATTGGAGTAAGTTTGGTATAGAATTAGAGCAGGATCTTGCATATTGGGTAGATCAGTGGATTTAGTGCTGAATTGTGCACATCAAAGTACTTTGTGCTGAATAATTCACACAAATTCACCGGAAGTATTAGGGGCCATTCACTTATTACGTAACGCTTTTAGGGGGGGAGGGGGGTCTAAGATTTTGTTACGGTTCAAACAAGGAAATTTTTTTTTCATACAAATTTTGTTACGAGGGGGGGGGGGTCTAAAAAGTCATTTTTTCGCGTTACGTAATAAGTGAACAGCCCCTTAGTATTTATACATGTTTTACTTTTTACATTGATTAGTGATACATTTCATATCACTATGGGTGACGTAGAATCAAGCTTCTAATCTTCAAATCTAGGTTTCGATTAAATTCAGGCTCTCGTTTTAATCTTCTGTGGGCGTGACGTGATACTTTTCAGGTCCGTTCTGACAATATTACATTATAAGGTAATCTTGTAGCTCTCGTTCCTATTTCTCCCGCTACACTTTAAGTTCCTGACCCGTTCCTTAATCCAACGTTGCCCAAATGCCCAATAATGGCTTGATCTCGTACATTAAGCAGTCGAAGTATCTAAACTTCCGAAAAAGAACAAATTTGGAAAATGGCTGGATTCGAACCGACGACCTTCGAGTTACCATACCAAATTTGAGCCAAGCGCCTTACCTATTCGACCAGCAAGGCACTTAACTGCTTTATTAATACTACATATTAAACCTTTTAAAAGCTAATCAATAAGTTAAGCACTTAGACAGAGTCGCTTTCAGTTTACTGAACTGTCCTAATATCCTTTAAAGTTTCAGAATCAGTCTCTGTACCTGAAAACAATAAAATTGCACTACACAAAAGCTTGTCATTAAAATCTATTGCATTAATCTTTATTACTTTAAATTTTAGAAGATGCTGAATAATCATTAACACTACAATCATCAATACCTTTATAACTAATTTGTGTAATCTTATTGCTCTCCATTTTGTCACTTCTTTCACTCTTCTTACGTCTATCCTTATCACTACTTGTTAAATAATATTTTGAATGTTTAACTTTTCGGCAACAACATCGTAACTTCTTGCGGCAACAAAAGATTCTATTCAGACTTTTCGATAAGATGAATGTAAAAAGCTGGATTATCATTATCACGAAGTTCCTTAAAATCTCCAAAAATTTCATGATAGCTATTATGTCCGAAAATGTCTCTTAAAATTTTCTTGAATACTTCCAATTGATGTGGATAATATGAAAGACGGAATTCACTAAAATAAAGACCCAAGTTGATTAATTCAGCTGAACTTTTGTTGAACTTTTCTAATTTCCTACCTCGTTTCGTCACCTGTCGATATTAAATAATCGAGTGAAACCATTGCAGGCTTTCCAGCGACAATCAGAACTGACGTTTTAATGTCTGTCATGTGCTTACTCTGAAAGTATAGTAAGTATAGAGAAAAAGTTGGAATTAATGTTGGTGGTTTGAATGTAAATGCGCAGTTTTTTAGATGAGGCTTAACTTTTTGAGCTTTTTTAATATTTTTGAACAAAATTTTGAGCTTTTAGAACTTTTTGAAAACAGATTTGGAGCTTTTTGAAACAACTTTTAACATTTTTAAATAGTTTTTTTAAAACGATTTTGAGCTTTTTGAACCTTTTAAAAACAATTCTGAGCTTTTTGAGAGTTTTGAAATTTTTGAAAATAATTTGAGCTTTTTAAATAGTAAATTTATTTGAAAATAATAATAAAAAGCTTTTTGAACAAATTTTTAGTTTTTGAAAATGTCTGAAGCTTTTTGAGTTTTTGAAAAAAGTTTAATTTTTTTTGAATTTTTGACCAAAATTTTGGAGCTTTTTTGATTTTTGAACAAAATTTTGAGTTTTTTAAAACAGATTTGGAGCTTTTTGAAACAACTTTTAACATTTTTAAATAGTTTTTTTAAAAACGATTTTGAGTTTTTTGAACCTTTTAAAAACAATTCTGAGCTTTTTGAGAGTTTTGAAATTTTTGAAAATAATTTGAGCTTTTTAAATAGTAAATTTGTTTGAAAATAATAATAATAAGCTTTTTGAACAAATTTTGAGTTTTTGAAAATGTCTGAAGCTTTTTGAGTTTTTGAAGTTAAAGTTAAAGTTAAATTTTTTTTTGAATTTTTGAACAAAATTTTGGAGCTTTTTAGAATTTTGAACAAAATTTTGTACTTTTTGAATTTCTTTGAACAAAACTTTAAAGCTTTTTGAAAATAATTTTAAGTTTTTTGGGCACTACAAGCAACTACAAGCTGAGTCAGTAAAAATGATCAAATTAAGAAACAAACCCAATAAAAATCAGCTCAAGAAATAAACAACATTGCCGACTACATATATATTCATATAATCACAAATTAATCAACTGCATGTAAATGTAAGTTCGCTGGAAAAATATTTGCACTTAAAGCAGTTACTTCATATCGATACTAGCAAATAATAAATTAATAAAATATTCTTGAATATTCTATAATTCAAGTTCAATGTCGATGACCCGATTGGCGCACACTAGCACAGTAGCTGTTTGGCAGCAAGCAGTAGCCGTAAAGACAAAATTTCAATATGTACCGATCGGGTGACATTCACAAAATTCTAAGAACATACATATAATTAATTATTTACTCACATTATAATAAATGCTCTTGCTAGGTGCACTTCCAGTTTCCATGATTGAGTCATAATTACGATGATCAATGAACAACAGTCCGCCTGGTCGAAGGCATTTCTCAAAGTTTGTAATTGCTTGTTTTTGTTCGCGTTGATCACCAAAATTATCAGGCATGTGAGCGAACGAATTTCCTAAGCAAATGACTGCATCGAATCCACCTTTGACGTGATCCTTGATATCATCATAAAGAGTCAGCCAGTTTGCTTCTTCAATGACTATAAAATAGAAATGAAGTTAAGTGAATTAGTTCATGATTAGTGGATTATCAGTTTGTGACGAGTGTTATAAATAAGCGGTCGTGACTTGACACAAAACTAATTTTTGTTTATTTACGATTTAGTTTAAAAATATCTATTTATAGCTAGTCATTGATAACGAATGTGGTTGTAAGAAGTCGCGTGGAAAGAAATTCTTATCAGTCCTTAAATTTTGAGGACAGACGAACCTTCTGAAATTGTTATTCAAAATAAATGAATGTGATCAAGCCTCCAATTTCACAAAGGCTTATCTGTTGTATGTAAGTGATCTACGTCAGGTCTATGAATGTTCAAATATTTATTTTTGATGGCCTTCAAATGCAGAGAAGTTAAGGGCTAGCTTTAAGCTTTAATTGTGGACTGTTAACTCCCTTACTTAACTTTACTCAAATTTAAACAACTCACTGAACACGAATATTTATTGCTTATTCCTCCCACTAATTCACAAATCCACAACTACTTACCCCAATTCTCAAAACTCATTTCCTTCCTGCGATTCCATCTCTCTTTAAGAGCATATTTTAACATTTTATCAGAAGCATCACACGACACAACTTCAAAGCCTTCCTCAACAAGCATGATTGAGTCAACTCCAGTTCCACAAGCCACATCAAGAATCCTTCGACAGCCTCTATTGCGCAGCATGTTTACTAAGAAGTTACGATAATTCATTGTACGGACTTTTGTATCGCCAATGAAGACCTCCCAAACCTTTGCAGCCTTTCCATCCGCATATTGATCTCTAGTGCCCTCGGCACTGATTCCATTTGAACGGATATACATTGTGTTTTCTGATTCTGGCATTATAAAAACTTATTTTTCACCACTTATAAGCTTCTTGTTTATTATTCGATGATCAAACTGAGACTGATCTAGTCTTATGAATGCTCATGAATATTTAAAGGAACGAAAATGTCTCTTGTGCAAAACAATTGATAATAATTATAAAATAAATATGAAAATAAGCTTCATGTGTAATAATACGTATGTCATAAATATAACAGGCTGATAAGGATGAAATCGCAACGGAATTTTAAAAATTCTTTTTTCTTCAGTGAGTTCTATTTCGGCATTAAGTGATGGAAAGATGTTGAAAATCTTTAATTGAGCTAGTGTTGTTGAAGTTTTTTGATTGTTGATTGGAAGGATCAATTAAAAATATGTAAAATTTTGTGATAAATATTGAAGTGAGTGACGTGAAAACATTTAAAAAAATTACCATGAAGTGTTATCAATTATTTGTTGATTAATAAGGGTCGATTAATGTTATTGTTTTCAATCATATGGGTTGTTTAATTTTTTAACTGTCGTTTAATATTCAAATTGTATTTGCAACTATCATTAGTTATTTTCCCTTTTTATGGTTGTTAACCCTTTCAAAGAAGCATTTAATATTTGAATTCAGAAGAATAAACATCAGTCTTATTTATTTAATATCATTTATCTATTAGCCTCAACACTACTTCTAGTTATTGACTAGACTTCATGACAAGTAATTATGATTCAGATCTAATTTAAAAATAGTAGAATAATTCCAAGAATTCTTTTTCAAATACCCTGTTTTTTCGTTATAAGCTACTACTCGTTACTAAGCTACTAGTGAGCCAAAAAAAATCACTTTTTTATTCTTCTAAGCTACTAGCTTATAACAAAAAAACAGGGTATATTACTTTGATCAAAATTGACACGGAAAAAGTTTTTATCATAGTAATCTTTGTGATCATCTTAATTTTTTCAAAATTTATGGTTTTGTGAATCTCAAATTCGAAAGTTTTTAAAGCTAAAGTTTGTAGAGAATTTGTTTAAATTTAAAATTTTATGGAAGCAGTAAGTTAACACTTTTAAAGGACCTGAAAATGATATGAAAATGCAGAGTGAGTTAAATAAAATTGTTAAATCATTATAAATTCTAAATCTGAAAAAATTGGTGTGCTGCAAAAAAAAAATCACCCTTCAAATTTATGGTTTAGAAAAACAAATTTGACATTGAAAAGTTTATAAAAATATTATTTTCAACAAAACCCCCCCGTCAACAATAAATAGTAATTTTGTCCTTAGTTGAAACACGAGCTTAATAAAATTTCCTGTATCATCAGTCAGTCCAAAGCTAGGTCGCAGTTTATAAATGATTAGCGTTTATAATTCATTTTATGAAGAGCAAAAAACCATAATATTTACTTATAGTAAAGTCTATTTTTGAACATAAAAATACGCGAAAGCTTCTTATCTTATCGCAGCACTGGAAATAAACATCATAATATAATTTTTTTTATAACAGCTGTAAACGAAAAACGTGTGTGTCTCGTGCAGAAGACATTATAGCAAGAATATTATAAACAAGTCATTAATCTACAATGACTGTGCATATTATAACATTCTCAGACATAAACAATAATATTTTGAATTTTTTTATAATGACTGCGATAATTTAATCATGTGTGGAAGTAAGTAAAGACTCATCACTGACGCTTATTTTTATTTTTATTGAAATTTCTTTCTTTATTATTATAGTTTTTTTTTATGAGATTTGTGTTAAAACAGTATGTCGAGTATAAAAAGAGTGCTTTTGGAATAAGTGTTCTTAAAAGAGATCTTTAAAATAATAAATGACGTGCGACTTATATCTAGGAGTATAAAATATTATTTAATTTTTTGGAAGATTCATTAAATGAATTAATGTTTTTTAAGGAACTGAGCTGAAATTTTTGAATCTTTTAAACTTTCATCTGTCTGGTTGGAATATGGAGATTTGAGATTAAAAATGATGTCTTTCGAATATTGGGAATTGCATTTGACCAATTAACCCAAGGACTATGGATAGCACGCTGTCAGTTAAACTATAAATATTTTGAATTTTCCCGTATTTTTTTCGATGTTGTTTACGATAGTTCGAAAATGAATGTTTCCATAAATTCTCAAAATTTCCTATTTTAAGTCATTTTTGGTTCTGTTTAAGCATATTGCTGTAATTATTCAGTGAAAATAAACGATTTGCAACTGTCATAGCTTAAATTATGCTTCAAATAGATGAAAAAATTGCAATTGAAAAATTTACTCATAAATTGTAGACAAACTTGTTTGTTTACAAAAATTGGAAGATAAAATTTGAATCAATCAAAAAAACCTTTTGACAGCCTTATAAAACTAAAACCACTTAAATATAATATATTTATGTAGTTTTAGATCTTTACAAATGCATTTAAAATTGTAAAACAATAAAATAAAAAAAATTATAACGTAAATAAAAATTTCAAAGTTTTGCTGCGAAAATTTTCTGACAAAAAAAGTTGATGAAAATTCGAGTTCGAATTGTCATCAACTTTCCATAGTCCTTGGCAATTAACCATCATCAATGCACACTTCCGTAATTCTGGAAAAACATTTTCTCTTAGGATTGGAACATTAATTGCGTTAAACGTAACAAAATAATATCTTAAGCTTGTTCGGATCTGTTCAAGTTGTATAATAATCTTTACTTTATTCCGTTGAACAACGTTATTGTTCATTTATAACATTTAAAAGTCAGGAAATGAGCTTAGTAAACTACAAGTATTCTAATATAGATCAGAATTGTCAGATAAAAAGAAGTGTCACCTGATAGAAGTCATATACATTTGCAACAAACTTAAGCATCATCTCACCCTCTTTTTAAAATTTCTTGATAAACATTCTAATTCGCATAATAATATACAGACGACAATCATTCTTAATTCCACAGACAGACAAAGTTCACTAGAACGTCATATCAACAGCCCCAAAATTAAATTTACTGATTATTAACCAAATTTTTCTTATTTACGAATCGTATTAACACTTAATAGTCCATATAGAAATATAATGTGTGATATTATTGCTGGAAGAACATAGAATCCACTGGATAGAATATATCTTGGTGATTTTAATAACAGAAAACTTAACAATAAAATGAGGAACAACCAACGGTACACAATTCACAAGATTGACACAAAATTAGGTATTACAATCAATACTGTTACTGATAAGTTCCTTAAATCGATATTCTCCGTCGTCGTCTTTGACAATTTCCTCAAAATTTTGCTGATTAAGTGTGGAAATTGATCGACGATCTTCACTGATTGATGTGATTGACGTACAAGTTAGTGACTTGCGATTCTGATGACTGTTTGTATATGTTATTTCATCGTCTAAATCATCGTCCATGTAGCTTAACTCGCCTTCATAATCTGAAATATTTGTCACTATTCAAAATAAATAATTTAAAAGAATTTTTGTTAAGTAATGTTGCGGCTACAACTTTTTAAATGAGTATCTAGTCATGCATGTTAAAACAAGATAAAGACAACAGAAAACAACTACTGAAGAAAAACAAAGTGTAATTAATTTTTTTTTCACGGGGTTTCTTCTTATCGATAACAGTTTTTTTTTTTTTTTTATTTCATGTAGGTACATAAATATGAGAGAAAAATAATATCAAAAAAATTCGTACGTCATTAATGATCGTGTAGTTTTTAAAATTAATTAAATATGTTTATTAACAGAGCAAAAATTAAACATAAAGGATGAATATGTAGACATTGAAGTTGATTTTAAATGGATTTTTTACTGTCCATTTGACGAAGTTTGAAATTTTCAATGTAGGAATGCTTTACGTAATGAATAAAATCATAAAATGTGCTTATAGTCACAACATAACATATTTTTTAAATTTCAAAAAACCGTTAAATTTTTAAGCTTTTACAACCGTTAAATTTCAAATCCTTTACAACCGTTAAACTTCAAATCTTAAATAACCGTTATTATTTAAATTCTGAACAGACGTTAGATTTCAAATCTGAAATAACCATTATTTCAAAATAGTGTTTTTAGTATCACAAAATTTTACAGCTTTGCATATAGATGCAGTTAATATAGCATTCTACACAGAGAGTTAATTTATCAGTTAATAATATAGAATTTCACAATAGCTTCCTTAAAAGATAGCATAAAATCTATTCTAAAACAACTTCAATTCTACACGTTTGGAGTAATTAAAAAAAAAATAGGCAGGAAATGTTGAATTATATTGAGAGGAATGTTTTCTTTAAATATCTATTGGAACTTCTTAATATCTAAATTTCAAATCCGTTATTTTTGTTGTAAATTCAGGCCTATCAAAAATATCAATTTGTCAGAGTCTTGTATTTTCCACAATCTCGTAATCATCTTCATCAACATCGTCCATATCATTTTGATTTACTTCCGATGGAATTGAGTCGATACTCGTAGCATATGATGTCGCCGTATTAAGACTGTTCATGCTTTTATGTCGTCTTATTGAGGATGTTGTGCTACCAACTATTTATTTTTTAAGTTTTTTTGTTTAAATCCAGAAAAAAATTGAGTGTGATAAAAATGAGGTAGTGATTAATTGATAAGAATAAAGTATGGAAAATAAAATGTCATGCGAGATAAGAAACAATAAATTTTGTTCAAGCATTAAAGGTCAGAACATAAAATTTTGCTCGCAACATTCTTGAAATTCTTTAAGTGCTATTAATTTGTCAAGTTCAATTTTCTGTTCGTTTTTTGACGTCTAGCTTTCAATTTTATGAGTCAGACAGCTCTAGACACCCCTCCGTACCCAAAAATAGCCAACAACTTCCAAAAAAGTAATCCAAGAATGTCACGAGAAGCTTAGAATGAATCTTCGTCCAAACTTTACCTGTATTTAAGTTGCTCATCTCGTCCGCAAGATTCTCATCAATTACATCCAAACTATTGCCATTCTCCTCACTCCTGGCAATCACCAAATCAGTCACATTCTTTTCCGTATCACTAAAGCATGACGACCTTAATCCCAATTTCTTTTCAATTGTTGGCTCAATGAACGTGCCTAGTTCACATTTTGGAAGCTCGATATTGTCACTTGGTGGCGGCAGATCCATTTTTCGAGTTCTTAACTCATTTAATGATATTTCTAGGGTTTTGATAACAAAATTATCAGTATATCCGAAGTTTTTATGGAGTTTGTACTGTAATTAAATGATATATAGTCAGAATTGTAAAAATTAAGTCCAATAAATCCAGTCATACCTGAAAATAGTCCGTAATTGCATCCATATCTTTAAATTTGAGCAGTTTTGTCGAGTGAAGTTTAAGTATCGTATAGGCCATAGCTGGCAAGACGCGCTCACCTTCTAGAAAAAATATATCCCATATACGAAGGCACAGACTAAATGGTATACGTTCTACGAAGATTACAAAAAACCATTTTAATGAATATAAAACACTATCCATGTTATGCTTATCTAGAAACTTTTTCAACTTTGGCAAGAACTTTGTGAGAATTTTGTCATGATTAGCCAGATATCTCATAAGTTTGGGGAATCCAACAATGTAAAGACCATGCATGGCGAACTTTTTATCAATCATTAATGTATTTAATGCCCAAAAGGCTTCTTCCTCGTCCAAATAAATGAGTAAAACGGCGGTTATTGTCGACATTCCTTGGCAATATCCTAATTCCATATTGTACATTGAATATGCCACGAGAACATTAAAAAGCTGTTGCTGTTTGGTGCTATATCGTTCACGAAAATACTCATGATCACGAAAGCACCTGTTAATATCATTGTCTATTTGTCTGACTTCCGTTGAATACTTAAATCCTAATAGAAGCATTTTATTGTAAATGGATGGTTCATTTTTATTATCACTCGGCTGACTCATCTGATTTTCAATATTTAATAATTTAAGCCATATCGATCTTCTTAACTTATCTGGTACGCCTTTATAAATTCTTCTTTGTAATTTTTCACGGTTTGTCTCTTTGAATTTATTCCAATTTTTAACCATTTTAAGCCATTTTTGAGCTCGCTGGATCTCAACTTCCTTCTCTTTACGCTCTTGTTCGTCAAAATCTCTCGAAAGCTTGTCTGTATGGATAAATCCATATCTTAAAAAATATATAGAGACAAGTAACATTTGTTAAAGCTGTGCTAGAGATTGGAATTTCAACATCCGGAAATGCATCAAGTTACAGAAAGATTGCATTACTTACCGATCGATTTTGTAGTATAGACCGAAATCTGGATCTTCCTATAATCACGTAATGTCATTTAATAATAGAATTAGTGCTGTTAAGGCTGAATTTCTTACCCATTGATCAATTATTTGATTATTTCTTCCCGATAAATATTTCCTGCAAATTTTAATTCTCTCTTCATCTGCGTGTAAAAGCTGTTCCTGAAATTCTGACATCTTTTCTCGATTTTCTTATCAATTATCTCAACATTAAGCACATTTTTTGATAAATCTAAAGGATCGTTAGTCTTAGAATCAGTGGAAAAACCAATGAAAATTTAATTTTGTGACTTTCTTATTTATTTCTCATTTTTTAACGCACTTTTGGAGGGAAAATGATATTATAGGCTCACTTTGTCTATAGTTATTCTATCTGCTCTTTGTATATTTATAATTTTTTATTTTGAATTTTAAACACTTAAAATTTTACTGCATTCTTTGAATTCAAATTTTTCAAAACCTTATAAATGTTTCAATGAAAACCTCTCAAATGTTTAATGTTGTATGGTTTTGGAACATTTTAAATCTGAATTAACCGTTATACTTTAAAAATATGTCATTAACCAAAATTGCTTAAATTTCAAATGTAGAGTTCTCAGTGTATTTAAATATTCAAATTTTCTACATTATTCATCTATGCATTCGAAAAAGACGCATCTGTCAATCGATAACAAATAAGTGACTATTTTTCTTTCTGAGAAATTCAAATTTTTCAAAGCCGTTAATATTATCTTTTTAAGAATTTCAATTGCTTTAGAATTTATGTTTTTGTTCATTATGTTCAGATCTTAGTTTGGACTATGTTGTGTTCTTTAGAACAGCATTTTTGTAAAATCTTCAACAGTCGTCCACTAGTTATGCTACAAAGAAAAGCAGGAAACTAAGATTGACTATCAGTTAAGCCATTCATTAAGCCTATCCACGTGACAATCGATTTTAACTGACATACTCAATGTTTCAATACTTGCCCAATGTTTTATGATTGTTTTATCAAAATAAATAAAAACATTAGCCAACACATATAAAGACTTTGTGTAACATTCTTCACAACCAATACTGACTTGAAAAATTTTCATTATTGTTGTGAATTTCGAAGAGTTCAGTCGATTTTGCTGCTGCAGAAAAGAGAATAATTAAGTGATTTTAAAGTGTTTAATAAGGATTATTCTGTAAAATAATCATTTAGTCGTATCAGTTCTTGATTTGGTTAATTAAATTAAGTGAAATTAGTTGATATTCGACTGTAAAAAAGGAGAAATTTCGATTTGAGGAAAAAGTCTATAAAAAAATGGCAGAATTGACAGCAACTTTGCCATTTTCTTCCAATTTAATTACGGCTGAAATTCGTGTTGAAAATCTAGCCGAATCTTCATCCACAATATCCATTCCTCAACCATCACAATCGAACGTTATGTCCCAACAACTTGCTATTGAGGAACCAGATAATAATAATACATCCAATATGTCAAAACAGCAACAAAAAGAGTTCGACGAGCCAGAGTCAAAACGTCAGAAATTGGACACGTCAATGAAAGGCAAAAAGTTTGAAAAGTTAGAATCGCGATTAGGAAGTGTTTTGTGCTGTGCTGTGTGCTTAGATCTCCCAAAAACAGCTATGTATCAGGTGAGCACAACTAATTTCCATCCTATTAAGTCTCAAAATCCCATTTCTTACTAATACTACTCGTCTGAGCCTCAATTTCATGGGTTTTTAATGCTTAATACGCAATTTAAAAGGCTCATGTCTGTGATAATAATGCATACACATACGTAAGTCATTCTATTCCCTTTAAATACCTGATTCATGGAATGTCAAATGACACAAAGAAACAAAACAGGAGATAGAAATGGAATAAAAAAAAGTCTAGGCTGTCTATGTATAGATCACCGTCATTAGGAACGTTCTGGTACTTAATATAATTAACATAAAAGGGGGATTTTGAACAGTTTTGTGCTGTAAAAGCAACAACAGCAGCAAAAACAAGATGGACGTTCCTGATTATTTTTCATTCTTTTGTGTGCTCATATATATTCGCTTCACTTTATGTCATTTTCAAATTCTGGAATTGCTCAATGGCTTTCAGGCAATCGAGTCATAAACGAGCAGAATGAATCAGTCAAAAAAAAAATTAAAATATCAATTGAGGCAGAACGGAAAACGAAAATAGAATTGAAGGAGTGTGTAAAAGAGACAGCGAGTAAATGGAATGTATGATTTTGGAAGTGAATGACTGAATACAGCATGTAGAGGTTCCAAAAATTTGCATTTTTAAACAATCTGCATTTTTAATTATATATTTTAGTTTTTTTATTGTTTTGATTGATATCAGCTTGCATTCTTGTGGATCTTCATTGCTGTCATGCTGCGAAAAATTAATATTTTTATTGCCGATTATATTTTTAATTTTAACGAGTTTTTGTAATTCAAATTTTGTGAATTTTTCAAACGGGTAGCAACTACATTTGAATTTTTAATTTCCGTTAAATTTTCAAAATTAAATTACGATTAAAGCTTTCATTTCAATTCAAAGTTCTCAATTAATCATAATACATTCAATTTAACACAATAATTCGATTAGTTCAATGGGGAAGCAATGTGTGTCATTAATTTGGAATCTCTACATACGTCGTCGAGAATGTGATTTGTTTTATTTCAATAGATAATGTTAAGTGCCCTTTGTCCTCCGCGACATAACGAGTCATCCAATCTAAAAACGTTCACAGAACATAAAATATATTTTGAGGAAGTAGAGAAAAAAAAATGTGTGAATGAGGTGTTGGCCTTCGAAATCCACAACATTTAAAGTAAATCGCTCAACATGTCCTTGAGCTCTCCCACATTACTTTTTTGTCTATTTTTTTTACATTCTTTATTTATTCCCATCAGAGCTCAAACATGTGAAATTATTATGTAATTGATACACCTTTATCGGAATAAGTTTACATTCTTTAATTCAATTCATTGAAGCATTTTTATTTCGGTTTTGTGTGTGGCTGACAAGATAGAAGAGACTTCAATGTTGCCAGTTTTTCCAACATTTATTTTGTTATCAATTTATTTTTTTCTTTTTTTTTGAATATTATAATGCTATTTATTGACATTTCTTATTGAGGGTCGATGGCTTATGACGATGATTAAGGAATGTATCTTTTATATTGAGACTGACTTTCATCTTGGTCATAAATCTTAGATGGATTTAATTTTTTTGGAGTTTTTTGGTCCCCCCCCCTAACCTAAAGAAGGGGAGGGAGATGTTCAAAAACTCAATTTCTTCAATAGGACATCATTTCTGAACCCTAAGTGGCTACTATCAAGTCATTACTATCTTAACTCTAAAGTAAAATATTGCGTCATTTTAAACTCTCATGGAACAGAGAAGAAAAAAAGTAAACAAAGTTTCTTTCGTGTTGTTTTTGTATCTTTAGCGACCAATTCCTAGTTTTCATACCCTCCACAATATAATAATATTAAATGAAGTGAGTGAGAGAGAGATGAAAAATATATTGCGACGTAATAAATTTTTCCTTGAAAGAGAACAGAAATTGCTGCTATATTTATACACACAATCATACCAGGAAACTTAAATATAAATATGTGTGTGTGTATGTGTGAGAGAGTGAGAGCGACTTTAAGTATAGTGAGAGAGACTGAATTTTATTTATATTGCGCCGTTACATAATGTAAGATTAAAGACACAGAAACAGAAAATGTGTTACAAGAATTATCTGACAATGTTGATGTCAAAAAATGATGAAACCTTAAAGATAGATGGAATCCAAATATTATGAAATTCCACGATAATAAATAAAATTCTAATGATGATGTCACTTCTACGTATATGAATAATTGCTTGTTTAGATTGCAACTTTGAACGATGATTGGATAACTCAATGTGAGGTGTGATGAGAGGAACAAAAAGAAAAATCTATTTTTATAATTTTTTAATAAGAAATCGTGAAAGTTTCACATGTGCAGAAATTTATGATAACTTTTTTTCCGCTGCACAAGCTATCTTCTTTTCAATTTTTAGAAATATGTGTATATAAATATATATTTATGTAGAAAGAGCTGAATAGAAAAAAAGAGAAAGTTATTGTTATTGATTTTTATGCTCACATTTGAAGCTATTTTTTGCATATGGTGATAAAGTTATTAAGGATTCATGACTAGGTTGCGTTTTTTGGTTTTTATTTGATTAGTTTTGTTGCTTTGAGGACTTGGAATTGACTGGGGTTTACTTGAAAATTTTTAATGATTAATTTGGATTTTTAACGGCTGAATCAAATTCAAATTTTATAAAAATTTGAGCAAACTGTTTAAGGGCGATTCTACGAATGATTTTTTCCACAAATTTGTCTCCAAATCTATTTCTCTTTATCAGTTGCATTACTCTCCATGTTTCATGTATTTAATAGTAGATTTTACCGAGATCTACATATTGTTCTCACCCAAACATATTAAAAATGGTTAATTAAAGAATTATTTACATTCTACGAAAAATTACTCTGTTTCACATGAATTTTTTCGCCCAGTTTCCAAAATGTTTTCATTAATATCTTTTTGGAAGCCTTAATTAAGCTGCAATTTGGATTCTACGAAAAATTTCATTAGTGAAAGAGAGTAATTTGGAGACAATTCCAAAAAAACTACCAAATATTAAAATTAAAACCATGAATTTCTCAAGCCATAGCTAAGTATTTTGAGTGCAGATGTAATCATAATTCACAGTTTAACCAATAAAAAGGAAATGAGAATTAGATTTTTGAAAAACTATGCACAAGTGAAAATAAAATAATTAAAATTTTTCATGCAATTGACACGGATTATTTTCATAAAACCTTTTCGTAGAATTGCCCTTAACGATAAAATCAAATTCAAAGTTTTTTGAGGCAAATTCAAGTCAATCTTTGTTCTATTGGGTTTTTAACTGTCAAATGAGATTCAAATAAAATTTCAAAGCGAATTTAGTTGATTCTCTACTCTTTGAAATTTAAAGGTTAGTTTATATTCAAATATGAGCAAAGGGCGTTAAAGTAGAACTGATTTTTGATCTACTTATAAGTTAATTTGAATTTAATTTATCCTTTAAATTTTAGATCTACTTGAATTCGCTCTGATGTATAATTTTAAATACAGAATATATAAATTCGCTTTGAAATTGGTTTTGAAAGATTTTAATAGCATCTCTACTTTTTGAAATTTAAAGGTTAGTTTATATTCAAATATGAGCAAAGGGCGTTTAAGTAGAACTGATTTTTGATCTACTTATAAGTTAATTTGAATTTAATTTATCCGTTAAATTTTAGATCTACTTGAATTCGCTCTGATGGATAATTTTAAATACAGAATATATAAATTTGCTTTGAAATTGGTTTTGAAAGATTTTACAGAGGTCGAAGCGAACTTGGTTCGCCAAGTTCGCTTCGCTAAAAATTCAACTTGCCAAAGTCGAACTGTAGCGAGAAAAATTTTTTTCTATTCGCCTTAGCGAACCATAGCGAACTCAATTTTATTTTTTTCGCTTTAGCGAACTATTAGCGAACTTAATTTTTCAAAGTTCGCTATAGCGAACTATTGGCGAACTAGAATTTTTTGCAATTTTGTATGAAATTACATACTTCACAAACGCAATCAGACATCTCTTAATATGAAGCCAAAAAAATTTTTCTAGTTCGCCAATAGTTCGCTATAGCGAACTTTGAAAAATTAAGTTCGCTAATAGTTCGCTAAAGCGAAAAAAATAAAATTGAGTTCGCTATAGTTCGCTAAGGCGAAAAGGAAAAAAAAATTCTCGCTACAGGTCAACTTTAGCAAGTTGAATTTTTAGCGAAGCGAGCTCGCTAAAAACTCGCTTCGCTATGCTCGCTTCGACCTCTGAGATTTTAATAGCAACATTAAGCACTTACTCAATTTTTCCACAAAGTCTTACAAAATAAATGTTCAAAATTAATCATTAAACTTTAAACCTTTAAGACTTATTTGAAAAAAAATTTAATCGAACCAAAAGTTCAATCTATTCAAAAATCAAATTTATGTCAATTCCTTGCCTCCAGACTAAGCTAATCTCAGTCTAAATTACTTCCTTAAAAACACATTTAAAAATCCCAACTCTAAATTACTCGATAATCCTGATTAAAGAATAGAAAAAAAAAATTAAAAATAGATAACAAAACGCATTAAGAAGTAGCTAGAAACAAATATGGCGATAACCCAGATTTTTTTCCATCCACAAAAAGTTATTTGGTGGCCTATTTGAGATGAGTTGAGCAGTTTTTACATTTTCATCAATTTTTTCTGGGGAGCAAATAAGCAGCAGCGCTGAAAAAAAGAAGAATAGAACGATTTGTGTTATGACATTTGCGCCGTAAACATCATCGGTTGAAGGCATAGAGAAAATCTCTTGTGCTGAACATGAAAATGAATAAAAGCACAGTTTTTTTTTATTTTCATGTTAAAAACTCTCCGTGTAGAAAGGCGAAATAAAAAAAATTTGTTGCACATATCTCGCTTGTGCCTGCCTGCCTTTCTCCAATTTCTTGCTCTCGTTATCGATTTTCTTTCTTTCTTTATGTTTCATTTTTTTTAGAACTTCGCCCAACAACTGAAAAAGTTTTTTTTTGCGT